CTTTAAAAATATTTAATACCAGTATCGGGAGATAAATCTTTATATTTTTAAAAAATCCAGGACACAGAGTCACCGACAACTTCACAACTTCCTGGAGCAGCGGTCACAGGAGCTGATAATTGTAGGGATATTTGTCGCCGATAACTTGACAACTTCCCGGAGCAGCGGTCACTGGAAAATATATCTCCTCTCTGTTATATTTTGTATTTTAAATTCCTTCGCTCTCAATTCGTATGATGACTACGTTTACAATTGTCTTTCTTATAAAAATTATCAGAATTTATATTTATCCGTATTTACAGATTTTCATAATTACATCAGATATCAACATTTATTGGTCTATATTTACAGATTTCCATATTTTAAGTTTACGAATATTAATGATTGTCTATTTTTTTATGTTTCTAAATTTTTAATTGTCTTTTTTTCGACTTGTCTGAATTTATTATTCTTTTCTTTTTTTTTTTTAAATATCAGTCATTTTAGATGTTTATATTCTGATGCGTCTAATTTCACGGAAATCTTTTTTTTTTTTGATTTTATAATTTTACGCTTATCTTTTTTAAAATAATTCTAATTATTTTGATTACTATATTTTTTCATTGCTATTTTTTAACTAATCGATATTGCAAAGTATCCTCAATAAGACACATCATTTTTTTATTATTTCTGAAATCTTATTTTTCCATATTTTTCATTTATTGATTTCCTTACTCACAGATTTCCAAAATTTGATGTTTCCATTTTCTGTAAAATTTCCGACCGTAAAGAATCAATGAAACGCATTGTATAATTTTTTTGTTACCATACGATTAGAAGTATTTTTTAAAACACTTTAACATATTTATTTAACATTGAGTTAGACAGTTCAAGTACTGCAGTCACGTAAAAATGAGAGACGGTATACTTGAACACACGGCGCTATGTCGTTCAACTTTTGGGTCCTACATTTGAAATTGGGAGGTATACCTGAACAGTTAAATTAAATATAAAAAAATAATTAAAACTCATTATTAACAACAGAATATTTTGCAAAATGATCTATATTTTTGATTGGTTAAGTTTTTTTGATGAATTCTCAAATATTTTGGGTTATTTCGCCATTTTTCTATTGTTGTGGTATCATTTTCATTCAAAAATGGATACTAATCGACACTTTCAATGATCCCGTCATTGGATATTAAATAAAATATAATATTTAGCTTTGACATTAAAAAATATTTCTTGTATCATTAACTAAGACATCAAGTTATCTTAATATACATTAAATATTAATGTTTACTGCCGGATGAGCTTTTTAATAATATAAGAATTTCCAAACTGTTCAAGTACGAGGGCCATTTTTAAAATTGTTCAAGTACTGGGTACTTTACCTAAAAATATTCATTTTTTTTCAAAATTTGATTTTTTTTAATTTCAATTTTTTTTTTTTAATTTTTTTCACAACTTTTGTTCTGAGGACTTAGAAAAATTTTTTAGTGTATACTCGGTGTATATTGTGCGCATATACACCGTGTAAATTCAGTGTAAACTTGGAGTGTATTTGGTGTATACTCAATATGCACTGAGTATACACCAAATAAACCCCTAATTTACACTGACACTAAATATACACCGAGTTTACACTAAGTTTACACGGTGTATATGGATCCGCTAGGGATAAAAAGTCAATTATGGTTGACTGCAGTAAACAAAATCAGCCCATCTTCTATTTGATTAATTGATTGATACTTTTTTAGTGACTTACTGAATATGTACTCCGAATCCAAAATAGTTTTCAATATCAGCTACAATTGCATTAAAAAATTTCTGTTTTTTTTTTTATCCCCAGATAGCCAAAAGTCAGCAGTAGGCTGGCAAGTTGTCAGCATACCTGACCTGAAAGAGGCAAGATATGCTGACAATACCGTAGGCATCTGCGGCCGCATTTGCTAGCAAAATGCAGGTATGTTTGTTCAACATAGCCTGCTGCCGTTGTGCCTACATTTCATGCTCGTGCAACGGTGGCGGAATATTACAAGCAAAGTGTAAGCATGATCTGCGTGGCAAAATACGCTGTCATCAAGCAGACATTTCATGCTAGCATACTGCCCGCAAAATAAAGAAACAGATTGGCTAAAATTTATCTTACTATTTAGGTATGTTAATATTCTAAATAATTATTATAATTTAAAATTCAAATTTTAAGTTTTTTTTATTCTAATTTTAATCGGAGTAGGAACATAAAAAAAAATAAATCAAAATTTTTTAATTAAATATTTTTTCAGTATACTTTTTCAGATTTCATAATAAGTAATAGTATTGATAAAAAAAGTTCAGTTTTTATTTACAGTAGAGTCTCCTCAACTTCAAATAAGAGGTGCCCCAAATTCCAGGAATTCAAGTTAGAGAATACACGGCAGTAGACGAGTCTCTCCACTCTCTTTAGTGAAAAATGATAGGGAGTTGAAGTTGAAAAACGAAGAAGTTGGGGAGACTCCACTGAAATTTCCTACTAATCTAATAAAAATGTATTGATTTAATTTTTAACGAAGTTATTATTTAATTGAAAATTTCCGTTAATTGTATCAAAATAAATATTAATAGTTAAGAATGACGTTATATTTAAAAATGTTTATCAAAATAGAAGAAATTTCGTTAAATTTTCATTTTCACAAATTATCTATAGATTTATGAACAATGGAGAATAAAAAAATAATTCAATTGTACTGTTTATTTTGAAGAATTTTTTTAAAAATACAAATTACGAAGAAGTATCAACGATAGGTATTGTATATCTTATGATTCTGTTATTGACATAAACATTTAAATATGGAATAATTAATTTAAATATTAAATAAATAAATTATTATGAAAAATATAATTTTTGAAATTGTTTTTTGGGTGGTTTTTAAATCTTCTATTCGTAAAAATTTTTGAAATATTTCGTTTATAAAACACATAACTTTTTGAATTAACCGCCTTTTTACAATGTTGAAAAGTTAGAGTTATTTAACCGTCAACATAAAAAATAAGACGGTCACTTAACGTAAGTGATTCGCTAATAACAATAATAAATATCAGGTGTGCCAGATTGAGAAAATGGTTTATCCGTTTATCTATAGTCGTCTATAGTCTAAAGTGCTGGTCGTGCTAGAAAGACGTTTATTTTAATACGCATGATATTTATTGTTTATAAAAGATATCAATTTTTTGATAAATTATTAATTTTTAACTATCCTCAATGAAATCTAATTATTTAACTACGTAATTTATTTAATATACTTGGTAAGCACGCTAATTTATGGTATTTATGTAAAATATGGTTCATAGTATCTTTTATGATTGTTTTTTTTTTTTAATTGTTTTTTAACAGCAGTTTATAATGTCAAAAAGTGAATTATGAAGTTTTTTTTTCATTGATTTATATAATTCAAAATATAGCACTTAATATGAGAATCTTTATCTATTAATGAGAAGTGACAAAATAACATTACTCAAGTGTTTGCTGAAATACCTACACCTAGAGAATTGTTTTTAGAAAAAGAAAGTTATTCCACATTGAGTAATAAATTTTATGAATAAAGAAGTGAAGAATACTAATGTGATAATGAAATTATAATTCCAATATTGAATACATGTGAGTGTATGATCTATACTAAAAAATAATTGGTATCTGTACCACTGAATTGATGGATCGGTGATATTGTATTTATTTGAAAAATCATTTGAGTTTTATAAATTATGAATTAAAAATTCTATCAAGGAAGATTTTCACAAAGCTCAATTGATTCGAATTTGTACAACATTCCAATTTGGTATTGATATTTTTTTATCTATTTTTTTTTTTTACTTTTTAAAACTTTTATTTTTAACTTTTTTACAATTATTTATGATGAATTAAGTTTCATCAAAGTTTTTTGTCGTCTGAACATTATGTATATAATTAAAATCATTGTTAAGCATTCGTGTGAAAAAACACATGTAAGAATGACAGATGGCTTGAGCCACGTGCTTAGCTCAAAGGAATTCTATTCTTCAATTTCTCACAAAAATGTTTTGAGTACTATTCATAATCTTATTTACAATAGTTCATATGTGACCTACATTATCAAAGTTTTTTTTTTATCTAGAACAATTTATTTAAATAAACTTTTATTTGTTTAATCATTTTCACTTTTTTATTACCGATGAAAAAATTGTTTTAATTTAATAGAAGCAAGTGAAATTAATTTTCTGTAAAATGTCATCATTGAGGGCCAGTTTTCCAATTTAGGATTGTCTAAAAAACTGTCTAAATCCCTCTTATGGATCAAAGTATGATTTTTATAATGGGACAATGTTAATGGGCAAATTAATTTTTTCTTATTTTAAAATCAAAAATTTGAAGTACGTAATTTATAGATTAATATTTATTTACTAAAAATTGATAATAATTGGAAGTAATTATTTTTTATGCCTCAGAGAAATCGTATCCCACAAATGTTTCGATTAAAACTTTACTTTTTTCTTAACAAGAAATTTTTTGAATGAGTGACTACATTTCTATATTAATTAAGAAAGTGAAGGGTACTATCTATATTTTCATAAAATATTAAATTGAAACTTTGTAAAAAACTGTTTCAAATATTTTGACAATTACCTTAAAAATTTTTATTAGATAAATAACTGAAAAAATTTACAATACTGATATAATTGACTATTGAACAACATTTTCAATCTAAATGGAAGCGTAGCATACTAATTATCTATAAGTAGTCTAGCTGATAATGTTTTCGCATTACCTACTTACAATCCAGGACACAAAACGACTTCTATGTCCGAATAGCGGAAAATATTCTGTTTATATACATTACGTACGTGCTCTGAAAAGAAGACAAATATTTTTTAAATTAAAAAAACATCAATTCAATGAACATGAACATAAAGTGATGTGTTGACACACTTGATCAAATGAAAAAGGTCAGTTTGTTTAAAATTGGTACACTATCTTTTCACCTGAAAATTTAATATTAAAAATAAAAAAAAAACATGGAATTCATAAATTCATGTTTAACTCTGATAGTTCATTTCGTGCTGAGAATTTATTCCATTCAACGCTATTACTTTTTGTATATTGAAGCAGTAATGAAAGTATTTAGAAAGGTATATGTATGTTGTGTACAATTATAAAAAGTGAAAATTATAAGAGATAATGAAAAGTTATTTATCGACCTTTTAATTAGATAATAATGAAAATAAAATAATAATAATAATAATAATAATAATAAATACTCGAGATACATTTATCTCGTGGAAGAGGAGTGGCTTGAACACGTGGACGCACCTCTAACAAATATATCCTAACACACATCTAAATTAAATAGAAACAAGAGTTTCTTGACCATGGAGAGGGATATATAAGATGACACTGAAGCGCATAATGCGAAAACAGAAGTCCTTGATCCGATTAGTAGTAACGGTACCATTTAATTCTTTGCTCAACTCAATTCTTCCATGCAGAATACTGTAAAATACTTGTCAAAGCAATTAATACTGCTTAGTTAAGTGATAAGTTTCAGTGTTGAAAAAATTAAAAGGTAACATACATACGCGCTTACGAAACCGTTTTAAAACTATTTCTTGAAATATTTATAAAGTTAATAATTGAACATTTTTTATTGGTTTAATGATGTTTCATACCGATTCAGTCTTCGAAATGTATTTACTAACGCATTTAGTTTTTTTATAAAAAATTATAATCTTTTTATCGAGTACAGAAAATGACACTGGTATACAAAAAATAGTTGCCTCTGTACATTTAACCAGACCTCTGAACTTATATGGATTTTGAGGGATTGAATCCAAATTTGATGTTCGTTTGATCCGTACACCCTCAAAATTTTGAGTAAATTCCAAAAAACTGCAGTTATGAAAATGAAAAAATTTTTAATGAACTTGATCCAGTACTTTTTTTTGTGTATTTTGATGCGCTTAATCGAAATTATTTCTGCAATATCATTAACTGTTTTTACGGAAAAGAAAAAATCTTTAGTTTAAAATAAATTTTTTTATTCAAGACCTGTTTTACGTTGTTTGAAGTTCCTTAAAAAAATTTTTTTTTGTTCTAATCAACCTTTTTTGCGATTAGATATTTTTATTTGTACAAATCATAAATATGACCATTATGTCAATAATAATAATCATAATCATGCGTAGTTGTTTAAAATATTAACTTGACTCACCCACGATTATTATGAAGAAAAAAAAATTCCTTTATTTAAGCTACATTTATATTTTTATAGTTTCAGAAGATAAAATCATACGGATGCTACGATGACGCTCCACTGGTGGATGCATTGGTTTTGGGTGACCTTGCAATTTACTGGTTAGTCAATTATAAATCTTGAAAATAAATGAGAATTATAAACGTTACGTTGTTATTACATTAATGTTATGTATGTACTAGAAATTTGAATAGCGCGCTTCGCGTGCGCCTTAATTATAAACAATGATAAACTGTGTCCTGTTTTTTTCGAGTTTCGACTATCGACTAGCTTCAAACTCTCATGTATTTTTATTTGAGAGATAAAATTGACTTATTAATTTGTTTTTTAAATGTGAATTTTTTATTTTACAGTTATATTCGGAATCCCAGTATCATTGGTGAAAGAAGACCCAAAAATAAAATATGATTCGAGTACTGTATGGCGAAGTGTCACCGAAAAAATGACTACAAATTCAGATGAAATATTAAGCGAAGTAGAACCTACAGTAGCCAATATGAGAATAGCGAAAGCAATTAATTTTTATCAACCGTCCATGAAAGGAAATGTAGCTGTTGATCCTTCTGAGAGTAGACCGTCCACAAATGCTTCCATAACTATAAAAAATACTCAAGATAATTCAGAATATCATAACAACGATAGTATAGATCCTTATACATTTATTCCTGATGAACGAACTACCAATTTTTGGAGTGGTCAAACAGAAATACAGAAAGAAGAATTAATAGATGATTTTCGTATTAAAAATGATAAAATTTATCAAAAAAGAAAAGATACACGAATTACGTGGATTTTAACCACCAGTAGACCATTAACAAGACAAAATCACGAAGAAAAATCTGGGGATTTGTTTCCAAATCTTAGTACTACTGAAAAAAAAGATCTTACTGTATTACCTCTGAGACTTGAAGAAAGAAGAATTAAATTAATAGTCAATAGAACCCAAATTACAACTGGTGATAATGATGAAACGCTATTAAATACCAGAATTTTCAACAGTTCAGAAGATATTGAAATTGATCAAGAACTAGCCGAACCTCGCGTTTCTTCAGTTACTAGAGTACCATTATTTGCAGATTCTAATCGACTTAGTCGGGCAAGAAATGCTTTTGTTAGTGATTTTCGAATAGATCGAGCGCAGGATCGTTCTTCCCAAGATAATATTGAAGAGATTGAAAGTGAAAAAAATATTGACAGTATTAATGTTCAATCTACAACTTTTGATATTGCTGTTATTACTGGAAGTTGTTTAGCTATGGTTGTGTTTCTTAGTGCGATGGTTAGTTTTGGATTTATTATGTACAGGTTCGTAATAATAAACATTATTACTTTATAATAACTATATTAGATTACATGTAGTGATAATAATAATAATAATAATAATATATTTACAGACGAAAGTATTTAAATCCACCTCAAACTTTGAACAGTGATAAATGTAGTAATCCGGATACTTCCGGTTACATTGATGATTCCACAATTCAAGTAAGTTATTTAATATCAATTTTTTTATTTTTTTATATGTATAAACCATGAATACTTTATTCTATTCACTGATATCGATGTATTTTGTTTAAAGGATAATTCAGAAGAAATGTACAGTTTGGATAATGATTCATTTTTGAACTCTCTTGAAGCAATGACAATACAAAATTATTGGACAGATAGTGTGAAACATACGAAACTATGACATTAAGTCGCATTCTTTTTAGTCTTTGGAGAGATACTGTTATAATTATAACACCAAGTAACAAAAAATCGTAAAAAAATTGATGTCTACGTGACAAAAATGTAATATTAAAATTTACACATTGTCTCTTTGTTTTAAAGCGAATAGTGCAATAAATTTATGTACTTAACTTAGTTATAAAATAAGTAAGTTGGTAAAAAAGAGTGAAAGCTAAACATGGAAGTGAAAGTTTTAGTCTGAGTACAAATAAAAATTTATTTTAATCTTAAAAAATGGCGAACAAAATTTGGACTTTAAAAATGTATACAAATATATGAAAACAAAATACTTTCTCTGAGATTTCGCATCATGAGGTGTGCAATATGGTTAATATTTAAAAGTATTTGAGAAATATAATTAATTGTATTTCTAAGCATTACACGAGGTTTAACATCACATACGTACTGTTAAAATTGCAAAACAAAAAAGTTGTATTATAGTTATATTTTTTTTTTTAATTATTTTATTTTTTTATTTAATTTATGGAAATAATTGGTTTTTTTTACTAATATTTTTTTAGAATTAGTATTAATTACTACCATTGGACCAACATAAATGTAGTTTGTAGCTATTGCCTTTGTATGACATATCCGTTATTTGTTAATAATATATCCATTTTCATTATTTCATTTATAATAAATTATTTTTAGCAAAATATACTGTTAGTATTGTTTTATCAAAAAAATTTTAGGTCAATTATTTTTTTGACATCAAAAAATTAAAACTTCTTGAAATTGTCAAGAGTTTACGTTTTTAAAACAATAATATTCATTGTGATAAAAAATTACAAATTAAATTTTCACTATTTTACTTGAACTGTAAAATTATTATTAATTCACTATTATAATAGTAAATGAATAAAAGATATATATTATTATCGATGCATTAATTTCATTGTTGTCAATTCATTTAAGTAAAACATGTGTTCTACCTTGATTCCCTTTATTTATACGTTACTATAAAAATAATGGAAAAAATGACTTATAATAATAAGTATAATAGTATATTATTGAAGAATTAATTGTTTTACAAACCTACATCATTTAGTAAATCATTATTTTTATAAGCTTTTCTTTACAATAAATTTTAGTTCTCTCATCAAGTAGTATTTCTATTATTTTTGTAATAGCTCTTAAATTGTGGTAGTATATAGGTTGATAAACAATTAAACTAAAAAATATACTTTTGAATGTCAAGAAGTTACAAAGAGTTAATATATGCAAATTATCCATAAGTGTTGAAATATCATAATTTACAATTCACTATAATGGAAATTTCCTCAAAAAAAAAAAAAAAAAAAAAATTCTAATTCATAATAACAAAAAAAACCAATCATTAATAATAATATTTTAAATTATTGACTATGCTGAAAATATGAGTAATACCCATGATAAAATCGATTCGAAGAACTCGATTCATCTTAAGTAGAGTAATACCAAATACAACATAGAGTATATATCCTATAGTTTGATATAGTTTGAATACAAGCATATAAATACAAAATACTCACATTCCAATATAATAAATAAAAATTTAAATATCGGTTTTCAACTAAGTTTTAATCGTTAATTTATATTAATAGAGTACTATTAAAGTATTTTTAAATAGTATGAGTTCTCAATAATTATAAGCTACAATTAACCTATAATTCAAAATACTTTTCGCATAAATAAATAATTTATACTGCCGTGCTTAGGAAAAGGGCAGTATCGTGTCATAATAATCTAATTTATAGATTTATAGATAGAATAAAAAATGGCTACATTAGAGGATAAAATATTGGGTGAGAAATTGGAATATTACTGCAGTTCAAGTGAAGACGAAGAAAAAGATTCTGGAGATTCAGATTCTGAGGAATCAAAATCAGAATTGAAAGGAAGTGTTCAGTCAGAGGAAATTCCTTCTTCGAGTTATGATGAGTGGAATGGTACTTCCAGTAACACTGGCCCTAAAGGTGTTTTAAAGGTAATTTAATTGCTTATATTAATATAATAAATTTTATTAATCACAACAAGCTACTATGACAAGTTTATTTTTATTTCAGGATTGGCAAAGATTTAAACAATTGGAGTCGGAAAAAAGAGCCGACCAAGAACGAGAACGTTTGCAATTAATTAAAAAATTAAGTATTACTTGTAGAAGTGCATTGGACGATGAAAAAGAAAAACTTAGTGAAACAGATCCAGAATTAGCGGAATTGCTTGAAGATGATTTTTTACTTGAATATCAAAAACAAAGAATGAAAGAAATGCTAGTGAAAGCAAATAAATTTCAATTTGGTACTTTAATTAATTTAAGTAGTGCTGATGAATTTTTAGATGCTATTGATAAAGAAGATAAGTCTGTGACTGTTGTTGTACATATTTACGAGAGAAACATTCCTGCGTGTGAAGCTATGAATGGGAGTTTAATAACATTAGCTCAAGAATATACGAACATAAAATTTTGTAAAATTCTTGGTATTGTATTGATTTTTACTACTATTTGAAGTTTTTGAATTATTTTATATTAATTGTTTATTATTTTTTAGGTTCGACAGCTGGCTTAAGTAAGCATTTTAAAAAACGAGGGGTTCCAGCTCTTCTTGTTTATAAAAATGGCCAAGTAATTGGTAATTTTGTCAATGTATCTGACACATTAGGAACTGACTTTTATGCTTCAGATGTTGAAAACTTTTTGCTTGAAAATGGAATCATCGTAGATAAAAATAATATATCAAAAATAATTGCTGATTCAATTAATGATGACAGTGAATAACTAGTGAATGACTTGATTTTAAAAACCTTTATTGATCTCGATAAAAAAATATAAATAGACTTTTTTACTTAAATAAATTGAATTGAATATGTTACATTATATGATACATTTAAATTTTATAGACTATTTAATAAACGCTCTTCTTTCTCAATCGTAGATCGTAAATCTAAATACCTCCTCAATATATCGTCGTATTCAGTGCCACGTAAATCCTGATATTGTTTGGATAATATTTTTTTCTTTTTTATTTCTAACAATATATCATCCAACTTTTCATCTAATTTTCGATCGATAATTCTAAATGCATCAAGTGTTACTGATGTTTCGTTAAACATTGATATTGTATACTTAATTTTAGTAACTTTTGCTTGTATCTCAAGAATTTCTGCTTCGAGTAATTTAGATTGTGCGTTTTTAGTATTAAAATTTCCGATATCAACATGCTTAAGTTGTAACCATTCTTCTAATAATTCAGCGCAAATTAAAATATGACGTTGATATTCATCAAAAGTTTCGTCAATTTTATCTTTCCAATGGGATATGTCTAACTTATTAAAGTCAAGCAATTGTTGCTTCATTATTGAATCTTTTGTTCCCATTGTTTCTATTAAATTTCCTCCATACTCTTCGTACCTATAACATAAATTTTTTTGTTAAAGAAAAATCAAGCATTCACAAATAAAATTATTTAGCTACTAATTTATCGAATTAAATATTATCGGAATCGGAATATCACAATTTAAAAAGCTGTTGTTTTAACTGCGATTGTTTCATCAATAATAAAGTATTTTTAGTAAAATTTTGATTTCAGTATTCAATAAAATGATTATTCATTGAAAAATTTTAGTTACCTTGAGATAAAACAATTTATGCGTTTCAATACTTCATTTTCTACAGCTAATTTAATTCCTTTACGTTCTTCATAATTAAATTCAGGCTTTGGAATTTCTTCAATACCTAATATAGTTAATTTGCTATTGTTTTCATTTGGTAAGACAAGATGTTTATCTATTTTATGAACTAATAACATTTGTTTTAATTTATCTACCAACTCCGGCTGCAATTTATCATTTTCAGAGGCAATAATTTCAATGGATTTGTAAATTAATTTACGATGAGCTATTTGGTAAATAGATTCTTCGCATTTTGTTAATACTTCTAATATTTTATTCAACGAGAATTCCTTATTTTTAACTTTTGTTGATAAATACATGGAACTTGAACATGATAAGTTCGAGATACCAGAGAGTCCTGAAAAACAATAATTAATAATTATTCCTTTTTGATCTAAACGTTAAAAAAATAGATTAACCAATTAATTTTAATGAAAAATTTGTATTATGGAATAACATATAGATAAACACAATCATACATTTCTAAAAATCAAATTTATCAACAAGTAGTTTTACTCTGAAAGTATTATATTCGTTTTAAATAATTATTATATGTAAAGTGATAATTAACTAAGTTAAGATAATGAAATATGCATACCTGACAATTGACTACTGTCACTTTTGATACTCATATTTATTAAAGTATTTCTTACTATGTTCTCATAAGATATTAATATTTTAAATGTTAAATTTGACAATATAACCTCTGAAATACAAAAACTTGTAACAAGTATATAAACAAGTCGACTGAAGTATATGGAGACGATATTATTGTTATTATAATGTGCAGTGTTACCGTATTAAAATCAACAAATCAGACAAAGGTATGGGTAGAAGTACAATCGCCATAATTAATGCCTAAGCATGAAATTAGTAAGGCGTAAGTAACCACTCTGCATACTTTCGTAGTTTAGGGGGAAAATATCAGTTGGCGAAAGTGGAAGCAAGAAGGAGTGTGAACTTAGGCGATGTGAATATAAATATATTTAGAACGGTGAGTAGTGCAATGAGAATATGTAAACAAACATGAAAGATTAATAATAAATGAATCAAAGTTTTTAATTATTTAAATAAAATAAAAATACAGTGGTAGGTTAAAAATTGTGAAATTAAAATTTGGAGCCTTTAATTAACGGATCAATGGAATACAACGTAATTAAAAAATAATAATTTTAATAAAAAAATAACTTTAATTTGCAGTGTGCATTGTTATTTTTAATAAATATTTTAAATGACAAAGTTAAATAATGATTAAGTCCACTAAATACTCAATGTCACCTTAGTAAATTTGGCCTCGAATCCTTTATCGTTACTTAACTTTGTCATTTGAAATATTCATTAAAAATTACTATTAAAAATGCACACAATGCACACTGCAAATCAAAGTTATTTTTTAATTATGTTGTATTCCATTAATCCGTTAATTAAAGGGGCTCCAAATTTTAATTTTACAATTTTTAACCTAGCACTGTATTTTTATTTTATTTAAATAGTTATAACTTTGATTCATTTATTATTAACCTTTCATGTTTGTTTACATATTCTCATTGCTCTACTCACCGTTCTAAATATATTTATTTTCACATCGCCTAAGTTCATATCATACTCCTTCTTGCTCTCACTTTCACCAACTGATATTTTTTTCCCCTAAACTATGAAAGTATGCAATGTAGAGTGGTTATGACTTATTAATTTCATGCCCAGGCTTTGATGATGGCGATTGTGTACCAGGCACTAACGACCACATCTTTATGGTGGGGGTAAAAAGTTAAACAGACCCTACTAGATACATACAAAAATACACAACAACTAATATCTAATGTGTAACTGTCTGAAAAATAGCACTAGATGGCACTAGTACATTATCCATTCTTTTCTCCATATTTTTCTATTCTATTCATTTTCACGCACAAGATCAGATGATTATGTTATAAGTGTGTATACGTTCTTACCAGAGGTTAGTATCTGTCAAAATTGCGACACAGTTGTTGATATGAATTGTATCTTATAACACTGCGTATGTACATGTTGAGGTATGTGCATTAACAATTACATGAATACTGACTTTGATGTATACCAAGTATCATTTTGATTGTTTTCTTTACACAACGATTAAAAACTTATTTGATAGTGCGTGATTAGTCACTAGTGATACCGGAATTACTGAGATATCATAAAATGATTAATAAATTTCGTTGACATTGGAAAAAAAAAAAAAATATTGGAATGGTAAAATTATAGGATACAATATTATCGTGATGTATTTTAATTATGAATAAATTAAAAATATATAATAGTTGAGTTAATAAAATGGGATCTAGATTGAGGTAAGTTTCATAATAATGTGTTCAAGGATTTAGCATATTACTTTCTCTTTGATTTATTTTATTTATTTAAATTTTACTATATTATGAGACAATAAATATATTTTTTGTATAATTTCTCATAGACGATCAATCATTGATTGTTATTATCGTTTTTCTAGACAAAATGTTAAACATTTATTTGAGTGTTTTTGTGAAGTGGCTGCTCCAGTTGGTGAAAAATCAGCATGGATTTTACAGAGATATCCAGAATCGTTTGAAGATAATGAAATCTTAAAGTCAGTTCCGAAATTTTCTTATCCATGTGAATTCGAAAAGTGAGTTCATAGGCTAATTTTTTTTTTATATATAATTTCTTTCTTAACTATAGAACGCTACCCATTTCTTCCAGAACAACTGTGCAGCATTTTTCATTTGTTCTCACAAGTATTGATTCTAAATGGACTTTTGGTTTTTGTCGACATGATCCAAAAACTGAAACTGCTTTAGTTATCTTGAGTTCACTTCCGTGGCATGAAATGTTTTATAAGTAAATTAATCTTATTTAAATTTTCAATCTTAAAAATTTAATCATGTATAATATAACATCGATAAAATAAAATTTTTTTAGACTTTTAAATCATATTGCATCACTCACAACAAGCAGTAATAGCGGAGATTTATGGAAATTTCTTGGAGATGTTTATGCAAGTAATATTCCTATGCCTGGAACGTCAGTTACTATTGCTTTACCTGATCCAAATATTGTAAGTTTTACTAAAAATAACAAAAGAATTAAAAGTTGAAATTGGTTTTAATAATTTTTCATTATTTATAGACATTTTGTTGTCAAAGTCCACGTCAATTTGAGCTTCCTAGTATACCAGAAAACGTAAGTCAGTAATATAGATTTGAGATCTTTTTGAAATTTCCTATGATTTTGGAGCTTGAAGCTATTACTTAAAGCTAGAAATTTCCCAAAATTTTACCATTTTAAAAATTTATTTTTCTTTTCATTAAACTAATATATCTTGGTAATAATTGTAATTAATGCAATAATTTAATATAAATTTTAGCGAAATTTAACCGAGTATTATAGTGCAGTTGATTCACACAATATGATTATGATATTTGCATCAATGTTATATGAACGTCGTATAATATTTACGTCTAAACGACTATCAAGGTTAAGTGCCTGCGTTCAAGCTTGCAATGCTTTAATATATCCAATGATTTGGCAGCATATATATATACCAGTTTTACCTGTAGCTCTAATAGATTATTTATTAGCACCTATGCCATTTTTGATTGGTGTTCCTACTTCGATTCTTGAGGTATAGCAATGATTAACCCTTAATATTTATCTGAACAAATTATACAATAATAATGTTTTTTTTTTAGCGAGTACCAAGAAACGATTTGGGTGATGTTGTAATACTTGACGCTGATAACAACACCATAGAATCTCCATTTCAGGATTTAGAATCATTGCCTCAAGATGTTTTAAATAATTTGAGAAAAGCTTTACGCAATAGACCGGCTCTTCTTGGTGATGGTGTGTCTAGAGCATTTTTACGTGCATTGGTCCAACTTACTGCTGGATATCGAGAAGCACTTACACTTCAACAAGGAGAACGGATAACATTTGATCAAAATGCATTTGTTGAAAGTCGACCATATTCAATGCAGCCATTTCTACGAAAAATGTTGGAATTGCAAATTTTTCAGCAAGTTAGTTATAACAACCAAATTAAAAAAAAAAAAAAAAAAAAAAAAAAAAACAATCTTATTAATCTTTGTATATAATAATTAACGAAAATATGTTATTTAAAAGTTTATAGAAGAAAGACTACATATGCTCAATTCTGGACTAGGATTTTCTGATGAATTTGAAATGGAAGCGTGTAACTATTCAGATAAATCAACTAGTAAAATTATCCAACAGTATCGAGAGTGGACTACTACAATGAAAAAAGAAGGATCTGCATTTTTTCGTAGTGTCAAAGATAAGGCAAATCCGGCTGTGAAAAGTGCTGTTAAATCAGTTAAAGATAAAGGAAAAAATATGAAAACTGTTTATAAAGGATTAAAATGGAAAAGTAATTTAATTGATAATATTACGTTTTATTTATTATTTTAAATTCTATTATTAAATTAATATTTTCTTTAGATCGGTCGCGTGGAAATGAAAATAGTATACGCTTTCATCAGCCTCGCTCAGCTCCTAGTTCACCTACATCTGACAGAAAGCTTAATATATTTGGCTCTGGTTTTAAATCACCCAGTGGATTCACCGCAACAACTAGTTATAGAAAAGAACTTAGATTGCGCAACAGTAATATTCCTGATACAAGGTATATGATTTTATGTACTATTGAAACCACTTGGAATAAGATTGTCAATGAGTTAGTTAAATAATTTTTTATTTTTATCATGTAGAATAGTTCTTATTACTTTGTTTTTATTGTAACTAATTTCGTTTTTACTTTCATGTAAAAAAAAAAAAAATAGTAGGAAACAGTACTCCCCATTGAACCCAAGTTCACCAGAAGAATCAGATTCTCTTCCAGAAAGATTGAATATAGACTTAATGAATGAACTTCAAGATGTGATATTTCCAAGTACACCAACAGTAGATAGAACGGTATGTTTGTATTATTTAGATATTTATTCGTTTGCAACATTGGCTGACTTTGTTTTTTGTTAATGCTTATATAGAGTACAATTATTTTATTTAAGAGTGCCATTAAAATTTTTTCATTGTTTTATACGTTTAAAAAGATCATTGATGTTACGTTAGTGTTGAGTGTATTTTATGCATCAACTTGCAGTTGAAACCAGTACGCAGTTTAGACAGTTTACGATCTGCATGGACTGGGCGCTTGAGGCACGGCTCACCTCCCTCTGTACCTTCCAATGAAACCTTACCAAACAAAAACTTTCAATCTGTTTCTTTATCATTAAAATCGCCTAGTAATATTGTTTCTAAGGTAGAACGTACTGAGGATTCATATGATAACCAAATCAAAAAATTTAACAATCAAAATCCGACCATATTTTTTACTAAACAAAAACTATCACAAACAGTTGCTACTGGCAGTATAGATAAAAAAAATAATGATTTAATAAAATTAACAAATCCGTTTATTAACTTTGATGAAAGATTAAGTCAAAGTAAAGGATTGGATTTGGACAATCCATTCGCAAATGGTATGATTGGGAAAGAATATGATCCTTTCGATACGTCTCAAATACATACCCTTCTCAATAGTTCTTTCAGCGATCCTATCATGCATAACCCATTGAAAAAAAATGATTCCTTATCAAATAATGAGTTGTCCTCATGCTCTGCACATTTGAAGGTAAACACTATCATATAATTTTTTTTTTGCACATTTATGTTCTGTTTTAAACTATCTTGTTCTTTGTTAACTTCATTAAATTAACATTATGTGACTAAAAAAATTCACTTTTGAATAAAGTCATGGCTTTGTGTAATCGATGCACTGAGAAAAAAATATTTTTATAAATAGCCCATGTTTAAAAATTTTATGAAAAATATTGACTTCAATTCAAGTTATTTTAATTTTATCTTTCTGTGAATTTTTTTTTTAAGAAGACGATTTCTGAAAGATGGTAATTTTATTATTGCTTAAGTATGTACATTCAATGAGAAAGTAATGGTATTTAACGATTTTTAGCTGTAAAATGTTGACTTTATGAAAGTTGTTTTTTTATCAGTGCAGCTATTTCATTCATTTTTGTCAGTTATCAGCTTCAATAAAAAAATATTAATTTAATTATTATTTAAATAAACAGTAGGTCTGATTTATTTGAAAACTATACATTTTTTAAATAATTTTAATAGTGGTAGTTTTTAAATCTACTCTACCTCTGTAAGAAATTAAGATGCTATTAAAATCTCCTTCACGCTATAAAAAGCTTTTAATAATTTCTGAAAAATTAGAAAAATTGTTTTCTCTAGATATTTTCCTACACATCTCATAATCATATAAGAAAATATGATTAAAAATTATTTTAATTTATTATCATAACAGCCTATGTTTTATTCAAGATAATCTTGAATCAAAATGAAGAAATCAATAACTTTTTAGTTAATATTGAATTGTAAAAGTTCTTTACTGTTACATTATTTCTGATTATGATAATCTTTTTATAGTAATAAAAAGAAATAACTAAAAATCCTAACAACTATGAAAAATTCTTTAGGAAACAGGTGCGGTGCCAGATTTAATTAGACTGGATTCAACAAATAGCGATGAAGATATTGATCCGCTTTTGTCAAAATCTTTTGTAAACACCAATCAAATGTCTCAATCGCTCCATATACCTACATCAAGTGAAGGCTTAAGTAATCCTCTTTATCCTTACTTTTTACCTCGACATAATAATACTGACAGCAATGATGGAGTGGAAAAGAATTCTAAAGATGAACTGGGTGATTTAGATTTACTCCAAGAGTATGGATTAGATTTTCATAAATTTAATTTAACAAATGGTACATCTTCAACAAGGATATCAGAAGCCACTAATAACTTTGATAATGTTTTTGGTTTATCTTTTCCGACATCTACGGCGAAATCACAAAATCATTGGACAAAATTCGAATAAAATTTTTATATTTGTGATATTATTATTGTTTAACATATCAATATATTGTACATAGATTAAATTGTTTTGTTACCCTGATGTTACGCCAAAAAAGACAATTAAGTAAGCTTTAAAATTTCGATACTTTGTTACTTTTTAGTATCGTTAGTGATGTTTTATAACTATTACTCTGGCAGTGAAAGTAATTGAATAATTTTACGGCATCTTTGAGAAATTTAGAGGATTTTCAAGGTTGCAAAGGATATAGACTTACATTGTAGAACATGAAAAAAAATATCTATGAAAATCTTATTTGTTGTATATTTATAAGTATTGAAAAGCATCATTTTACAGTTATTTTTTTGACATACATACTATTTTAAATCAATGACATACATACATACTTTTGCTATACACTGACGAAAATTCTCCATAGACTACAATTGTTCATCATGATTTTAATAATTACTTAAATTTGTAGATTATTTTTTCCGTGAATTCGAAATTTTGAAACTTTATGAAGTTGTTAGAAAGAGATTTGTTGAATTTGGATAATATTTGATCGAATTAAATTAATTTAAATTTTTACGACCGAACAGAATTGAACAATCATTGTATGAAAAATTTTAACTGAATATTAATTTGTATTTAGAATTAGAAAAAAATTTTTTTTTCAATATTTTTGAAATTTAATAAAATGACAATAAATTGTCGAATATTATCATCAATTTTTTTTTCAACCGTAAATTTGTCTTAATAAAAAATATAAATTTTCAGGTAATTAAAGTAATACCTAGAAATTAAAAACAATTGTATTATATTTGTTTATAGTAGTAGATTATTTTGACAATAATTTTGTTATATAAGTTTACAGTATACTAATTTAACTGTTATATAAATTAATTAAATTTTACTTATTACAGCATTTGAGATTATAAACAATAAAAACAAATCTATGATTATTTATGATTTATAAAGTAAAAAGAAAAAAAATACATGATTGTTTTCATATTATTATTAAAGTACAGTTAATTATAAGTGCTTATACCGATCATTTTACTGTCCTAAAAATTTAATTGAATTTAAAATAATAGTTTAGATTGTATTCATTCAGGATCTACTTGGTATTTTCCAGAAAACTTTAATCTATCCTGAAATGAAACCTTGTCGAGAGGCTACTAAAATGAACGATAGCAAATTGTATTGAGTTCATTACTAAAAAATATCAAAATAGTTGAAATTACTTTCGAAGTCCCTTTATAGTAATAAAAAGACGTGGGTTACATTATCCGGTCGAACAAAAATTTTTAACCATTATATTAATTATGTTCGTAAACGAGCGTATGTTGGTTAATATTCCAAAATTGTCATGACGATGCACAAAAAATAAGAATGTAGATTATTGATTTGTATCCGACTGGTGTATTCTATTTTATTGTTTACGATAAACTAATTGCATTTTTTCGACCATGAAATCTCCATCACCAATAAATTCCATTTTTTTTTTTTTTTGGCAAAGCGAACAATTCTATCGTATCGACTACGCTAACACCGCTACATCAGGATATTTAAACATTATCAATTTTTCCGAGTAAAATTTCAATTTTTCATTAACTGAGAAATTGATAAAATATAAAAAAAAGAAATATTGAGAATCTTTAATTTTTTAGACATTCTATTGGCTAAGAAAATGATTTTTATTGTGTACAAATTTTTTCATTTCGAGTTTTATTATACTAAGTAAAGTTTCATAATTCTTTCAATGATTTGATAAGTGAAAAATTGTATTTCAATAAAATATCAATTATAATTACTTTTACAAATCATATAAAAAAGAATTTGTTTAACAAAACTCATCTATTCTTTCATATTTTCAAGATTTTTGATTATAAAAAACAATACAATTATAATTTTTGATCGTCTTAAAAATAATGCTTTTTATTGATCATTATTTTTTGTCTTTGAAATTTGAATTTATACAACATACTTATTATGAAAATAGAATGTAATATAAGTTTGTTGCTGGTAGTCATGGTTACGAATTGAGTGTATGGCTGCTACTTCACAGTTTGTATTAGACAGTTGTAACGAGTGGGACTAAAAAACGTCGCAAAATTATAAATATTTACAACATTTACAGTGTAAGATAAATTTTTTTTTTTTTTTATAAAATGTTCATCTAATGAATATTTAATTAAATACTGTATTTTAGAGATATTATCAAACTTTTTAAATTTTTAAAATGAGTCGACAATAATTATTTCAGTTTCAGTGTAATAAATTCGTCTGTGAGTTATTAACCGAAAATACTTAAAATTGCTATCGATAGAATAAAAATTTCAGAAGATAATTACAACTTTCAAAAACTCACGTGTTATTTAAATTTGATAGGTATTTGTGACTGAACCATGAAACCATGAAAGGTTTATAGTCTTGTTTTACTTTAAGAAAATCTATATTCTCGCGTGCTAGATTGTTTAAGATGGATAAGTGACATGCAATTGTAAGAAAATGCTAATTTCAAGTAACATACTAGGACTTTTGACATCGTCCCAGTTACTGTATATAAGTATTGTATAAAAGTATTTCTTCTTTGCTCTATATTCTTAAAGTTCAATCCCGTGTTCCTATACAAATAAGTCAGATTAATCCTTTTAAATCACTAAATAATTGTCCTTGTAATATTCTCAAACGTAGAATATATATTTTAAAGTATTAATTAAATAATTCGTTACAAATTAAAAGAGTTTATTTTATGAATTGTATATTATATGTAGAAATTATTAATAACTTGATGATGTTCTATTTAGTAAAAACAATCGTTAATGTAGCATAGACTAAAATAAAAAAAGAACATTTGTAGTAAAACATAAAGTACTATAAAACTAGAGCACACAGTATAGTTAAATGTGAGCTTAATAAATTAATAATTAATAATTAGAGAGCTTCGTAAAGCAGATACTGTAAAGTTATTATTTTCAATGTTAAGTTTTGAGGACAGTGACACCGATGAAGTTCTCCGTGACCTTATTGACAGAATGCTGTATAAAACACACACAATTAGAAATAACATTAAAAACCATTGGGTCGATTGTGCTAACATGAAGAATATTACTTTTACTCTGATCTGTATATTAATGGATTAATAATTCAATTATAAATTGAATATAAAGTCAGTTCAATTGTTAACGAATAAAAGTGTTTATAAATATGAATCGATATATTACGCTGAATCAACTGGGTGATGGCACTTTTGGATCTGTTGTGCTTGGTCAAAGAGTTGATACTGGAGAAAAAGTAGCGATTAAAAGAATGAAAAGAAAATATTATTCATGGGAAGAAGCGATGAATCTTCGAGAAGTTAAGGTTTATTTTCTTTCTTCATAATTTTATTATATTATGTTTTATTAGTGTTTATATTTAAATTATTAATAATTATTCTTTTATAGTCTTTAAAAAAATTAAATCACGCTAATGTAGTCAAGCTAAAGGAAGTAATCAGAGAAAATGATGTGCTTTACTTTGTCTTCGAATACATGAAAGAAAATTTGTACCAACTTATGAAAGACAGGTAAAAAAATAGATACTAATAATAAAGTTTTGATATTTTTGAAGCAAGAGCTACGCTTATAAATCATGTCCAAAGTTTGTTCCAATTTTATTAGTGATTATGTTTATTGATATTTTCTAAGGTCACACGAGAAAAATTAACTGTTTTTTTTTTTTTTTCCAGTTTTCTATAAAAATATGGTAATTAATCATGTTTTGTCCTTTCGGCGCAATTAAAAAATGTTTAGAGATTATACTCAAGATTTTTACAAGTTTTCAGAATCGTTAAAAATTAATTTTTTTTTTTCCGTTCGTAAACCTTTGAATTATATATAAGATGTTACCAAAACTTCAAAAAAATAAAGAACTGAAAGATTATCGACTAGTCGATTTGATATGGAATGCTGAATCAATATTTGCTATTGATTATTATGTATAAGAAATCCCATCTTTCTGTTTTTTATTTGCGTCTAGTTTTTCATTTTTATACATTAATCTTTTAAATAAAAAGAAAAAATTGAATATCTTTTGATATTTATGTAAATTTTTTATTCACAAACATCTAAAGTACACACCACTTTTCAAGTTAAAAAAATCTCATACACCCTAAAGAAATATTGATTTGAAATTCTTAAAACATGTATTATTTTTAATGTAGAAAAAAATATAACACAAGAAAAAGAATCAAAAACAAAGAAAAAATAAATTTTCGGTGATTCTAGAAATTTTGATTGACCCCGAAAATTTTTCTCAAGAAGCTAATTTTCGGAGAGGAAATTCAAAATGTTAACAATAAACTAGAATATTTTTTTTGAAAACTAGAAAAAATAATTAGTTGTATTATTTAGCGCCATATGAATCGATAGATATTTTTAACTCTAATTAATTAAATCAAATTTATTTTAGGGATAAATTATTTCCGGAGCCAATCGTTAGAAATATGATCTATCAAGTTCTTCAGGGTCTGGCATTCATGCATAAGCATGGATTTTTTCACCGTGATATGAAGCCAGAAAATCTTCTGTGTATGGGCCCCGAATTGATAAAAATAGCTGATTTCGGGTTAGCTCGTGAAATACGTTCTAGACCACCATATACAGATTACGTATCAACGAGATGGTAAGTCGCTAAGTCGCTAAGACACTTATTTCAACATTAATTTATTAATTATTTTTGTATTAAAGTTAGTACCACACTTATGTTAGATTTGATATAATCTTCTTTAAATTATTAAATTGGATAAAAATTTTCAATTAAATCAGGTATAGAGCACCCGAAGTATTACTTCATTCAACAACTTACAACAGTCCAATAGATATTTGGGCCGTTGGATGTATCATGGCTGAATTATATACATTTCGACCTTTGTTTCCGGGAAAAAGTGAAATCGATGAAATTTTCAAAATTTGCGCAGTCATTGGTACTCCAGATAAAGATGATTGGCCTGAAGGTTACCAGCTTGCAAACGCAATGAATTTCAAATTTCCTACAATATCAAGAACTCCACTTAAAGACATTATCCCTAATGCTGGTCAAGAAGCAATTATTCTTATGGAAGATATGTTGGAATGGAACCCTATAAAAAGACCTACTGCTCAACAGGCGTTACGGTAATATTTTGTATCGTATTTATTTATATATCAATAAAGTAATAGTTTACAATGATAGGTGAATCAATTTTTAGATATCCTTACTTTCAAGTGAATAATTCAACGCGGGTAATGAGTAGTAGAAAGCATGGAATTCATCCTCATCAAGAACTTGCCATGAGCAAAGTTAATTTTTCTCCGGCAGGACATTTATTGAAACACAGTCAAAATTTAAATAAAAACATTGATGAGTCTCAATCACTTGAAAAAATTGTTGTTGCACAACCGCAACAACAGCAATTTACTTTGCCTGTTCTAAATAGTCGAAAACAAGATAACGTGCCAAGTTGGGAAAATGCAAATTTTACTAAAGAATTAGGGTGAATTTCATTATTTATTCGTGTGTACATATTTTTTAGCTTAATAAATTTGTTACTAAAGTTACTTTTCGCAGGAATAAAATAACTCTAGGAAATACTGATTCAAAGTTCGCAGATGAAACTAGTAAGCAAAATGGCATCAACTGGAATGAAAATTATGAAATAGAGAATCAAAAAATGAATGGAAATTGGTTAACACCAGCATGGAATGAGCAACTGCCTTCACGAAATTGGAATCAATCTCAGTCAAATCATAAAAATAATCGTAAAGTTTCAGCAAAACAGCATTATCTTAGCGTCGCCCGATATGTTGTTGGTCAGAGCACAAATCTGTCATCCAGGTACCAAAAAATTCGTCGTATAATCAGAGATACACTCATTGTTTATTTATTTCTTGGATTAACTTACTGTTTTGGATGCTTATACTTGGGACAAAAATCATTTCACCTATGGCTTATTTATTTTGCTAATCAAATTGGTCAAGAAATTGAATCAATTCTTATTTATGTGGGATTACAAAAGCCGGTTCCGCCTCCTCCATCTTATTCACTTATAAATTCATTATTTTTCGTTGCACAATTTATTTTGAAAGCTTTTCAATTTATATCAAATATTTTTAGTTATATCAGTGCCTTCAAGATTTTTGATATATTTTTAAATTATTTTTTAGATTCTACAACTTTTACGACGTCGATAACTTATCGCATGTTTTATTATATAATAAATCAATTTATACTCTTATACAGCCAAATTGTACTATCACATAAATAAAGTCTTTGAATTATTTATTAATTATGTTTTTATTTATTTTTTCGGTATTATCAGAAACGGTGAAGTTGACATGGGTCGATCAAGATTATTATTGAATGGTATGGTAGCCCAACCGGTATCAGAAAAGGTCGACGATTCAATGGATTCGTTCTGGGGAACTCGAGAGAATTTAGAAACACAAGCAAGGCAGCATTATCTTGTCAGAAATTGTTACTTATCAGAACAAAATAGTAGAATGCCGTATCCTAGTGTTTATGGGACTCACGCTATCAGTAAGAAGTGTTATTGTTAATTAAATTATTATGATTTTGTTTTTATTTTTATATATAATAATAATTATTATTATTTATTAAAAAACTTATTATCTAGAAGCACCGGCAAAAACTATTCTTCAGCCGAGCTTATTTGGGGCCCGTCCTAGTGGTAGTCTTCATGGAAGAACAGACTGGGCCGCTAAGTATCTTAAATGAAACAGATTATGTGAGCAAGAAAACTTAACTGTGATATAACAATAATTAAACAATGTTAATTTTATGTTTACATAATATAAAAAAACAAAATAACAATTTACTAGATTAATCTTAGATTGGTTTATTTAACGAATAAACAATTTCTGTTGTCACCTGACGGCATATTATGTTTTATATAAATAAAATTGTTAACTATCAATTATCATATCATTTTTTCATAATAAATAAATACATTTAATGATGGTAAAATAAAAATTCTGACAGTATTAAAATTCCTGTTCAACTTTTCTTTAGTATCACATTTAAAGCATACAAAATAACGCCTAATATATATACTATACGGTAAATCAAAAATTAATTTCAAACATTTGTCATTATCCATCGCATAGATTAACTTTTGTGGTAATTTTTATTTCTTCTGTATCATTAAGCATACATCATAAATTTTAGCCACTATTCAATCTCTGCGTTTGCCGTAAAATGTTGATATACAATAAGTAAAATGTTAACGATATTAAAATTAAATTACAAAGAAGATAGATCATATGTTATTTTTTGTTTAATTTTTTTTATACAATTCATTTAACTTGACATTTTTTACATTTAACATAGTATTTATTACACCATTTTTATATATACTTTTTCACAAAACTAGTTGCCCATAAAAAGTTCCCTGATATACATATATATATAAATATTCTCCTTTTTACACACGACATAATTAAAAGCTACTCGAATTAACTAGTCATAAGTTTTACTTTTTAGTTCCATTTAATTTATTAAATTATCTCAATAATATTGATTAATGATGATAACAAAAAAAAAAATTCTTTTTCATAAGTAACTATTGAATAAATATATTTAAAATGAAAATATGTATTTATAAAAAATACTTAGCATAATATCTAGAAAATTAAGTAATCAAAATTTTGTGCCTGGCTACGATTTTAGATATGTTTAATAAAAATAGAAATTCATAAAATGTGTGAATAACTATTTAGTTAGTAACGACTTTAAATCACATTCAAAATAATTGTACTTCTGTGAATTTGATAGTTTGGTTTTCAAGTCTGCTTAAGTTATTTTTTTTTGTACGGATAGTTTTTAAACAATTATTTCTATGAATTTGTTTATAAAGATTTTAGATACTACAATAACAGCAACAACAACAACAGTATTGAAAAAATTGATAAAAATAAAATTTGAAAATTAAATAAAATACCAAACCACCCAAGCGGAACAAAAATTTTTTTGGTAATATGTTGTTGAATTTAAGTTGACAATTATTAATTTTTGACTTCTTGTTAAATAAAATTTACCAAAAAGTCAACAGTTTTTTATGTGACGCTAGGATTGGTACTTTGAAAGTTATTAACTGTAAGAGAAAAATATATTGAAATTTAAAAATAATAACTATTATTTTCAAGAAAGAACTATTTTCGATTCAATATACTAGATAAATATGTCTCTCGGTTTCGTAATGCCTATTTTGAAAAAAATGTCGATGACTTCAAATTTTGCTATAGCACAAAAAGTGTTTCATGACTAAAATTTGATAAAAAACGTTTAAATAAAAATTTTTGAAGTTAATCTATAATTACCAACCACATCAATTAAAACTTCGATTTGTCTCTTTCTTTCTTCAAAGTCCATTGGTAAAATAATATAAATAATTGAAAAAATGTTACGAATCGAAAGTAAAAAAAAAAATGATTTTTTTCATTGGTAAATTAAAAAAAAAAAAAACAACTTAAAAATGAATTTCAATTAGGCTGAAAATTTAAAACTTTAGAAGTAATTTATAAAACGAAGATAATTATAGACAAAACTAGCTGTTTATATGTCAATAAAGAAGACATCACCGAAGTTTTAATGTTTTCAGCTTTTTTAAAAATGTCATTAAATTAACTTGTAACAAAAAAATATATTTATTGCCATTATTATTTAATTTATTTAATAAAGTAAGAACCATTAAGTAAGGAGTAAAAACCAATAGTGATGGATATGTCATACAATTGAGTATTTAACCGAAAAATGTTTTTCGGAAGGTTGATTACAACTAAACTCATTATACATTATTATTGATGTCTTTAGTAAGAATGTCGCATAGGTTATTATTGTATAAACATTATTGAGATTATTACTTTGTGAGTTTTCGGTTAAAATTGTTATCTATGAAAAATTTTAAATAAATACATGTATAGTAAAAAAAAAAAAAAACAGATTAGGGCTTAACAAATTTTATGAAATTTGCGATTTCCAAATTAATTTTGCGTCAAAAGTTGTTTCGAGTTATTCCTTTCTCTCGAGTCAATAAAAATTTCTATTTAAAGCACTTCTCAAGTGCATATTATAGAGAATGTACTCTATCAAAATTCTACCGTCATTGACAGTAAAATTGTTAGCACAACATTTACATTAAGAGAGTGACAAGAACATTTTTTGACAAGAACATTTATAATTCATAATATATGCCGTTTGTAATTTATTTTGAATTTCCTCTCATAAAATTTGTTGTACGAAAATCGTCAAGCTTTAAAAAAACCTAAGTGAATTGATATTTTAAAAAGAAAAAAAGACGCCATTCGGCCATAGCCGAAATGGAAGGTAGATTTCATAGAATGAATTATCGTCTTGTATCAATAACTTTCGTTTGACATGGATAGGTTGTATTATACATTGCCTGAAAATGGTTCAATTGAACTCTTAACTTTGATAAAATAACTAAAAAAGTCACCGAAAACGTGATTTTCACTATTTTGATAATTTTGAAGAGCTGCCATTTCTAAACTTATCGATGGATTTCGCTCATCTTCGAACTCATTCAAGGTTATTATCCAAAGAATATGTGTAACAAATTTCATCTAGATCCGTCAAGAACTGTAGACACAATCGCGGCGCGTTATATTATATATATATATATACATACATATATAAATTTTTTAACTGACGTTATTTTTGAGCTTTACTCGACTAGTTAAGTGATATATTACAACAAAATTCCGAGTAAATTCCGACATGAGGATCAATGCAAAAGATTGATTTCTATGAAATCTACCCAAAAATGAATTTTTATTCTATCTAAGCTATTGAACAAAAGATCCTGTAAGTGTAACAATTTCAAATTCACTTGATAATGATATGTTGACGAAGGAAAATTTACAATTTAATACATAATTATTGTAAAATTCTAGTGTTACTTTTTTATAATTCTAAAAGTATAGTCAAAATAATAGCTGATGATAAAAAATGACATATTTTAAATGAGTAACTAAGGTATTAAATTATCGTTTAAGTAGGGAAGTAATTAAAGAAAGAATCATATATCCACTTGAAAATTCTAACCGTTGAATCGTTGCTGACTAAAAGCTTCGAATCTTGTATTATCTTCGACATTGCAGTCACTTTTTACATAGTAAAATATATGATTTTATATTTGTATTGTAACAGTTTTAGATCCCTCATAATAAATTATTAGTCATTAATCAGAGGATTCATTCAAAATTTAAGATTTCTCGAATTTACTAAAATTTCAAATTAAAAATGAATAAATAAAATTAATTCAATGTAATTTCATTTTAATGTTGAATGATTGCATTACTAATAGTCGATGTAACATTGGTAAAAATAATTGGTACTGTTGTGGTTGATGTTGTGTTAAGGGCATTCCCTAAAAGTATTGCTGTTTTATTTGTCATTAAGGAAGTCGTTAATTGTGTTGCCATTTTAGTAGCAGTTGTTGTCATTAACATGTTTGATATTTTACTAATATTTTTAATTGTTGGAAGAGTGGTGAGTTTGATACTGCTCGCTAATATATCTGTTGTTATATTATTACTTATAAATGTTGTTGGTACAGTGGCGGTCAATAAGTTTACACAAATTTCTTTAGTAGTAACAGGATGACCAAGAAACGCATCTAATATATAAGCTAACAAAGATCCAAGTGTGAGACCAGTGGTGTAAGATAGGGTCATAATATTTCCAGCTAATTCCCGGTGTTCTTCAGGAACTTTACTTGGGGCCTGAATCATCGGGACACTACCAACGATACCGTTAGTAAGTCCAAGTAACCACGAAAAAAGAAGTGGATAAATTTCGCTTGATAATATTGGTGCATGTCTTGGAATCGCACATAATAGAAAGAGAGGTATAAGAAGTATACGAGCGATTGAAAAATACACCAGTTGTGTTCGTGTCCATTCATACGATATTGACGCTAAAATTTTTCCAAGCAAATCTGCACCATTAAATGCTGCCATCAAAATTACCGGCATCCATGATTCGAATTTACAAGATATTATTTCTGATACTATTCCTGGGTAAAGACAAAGTGTAACAAAATAAGCTACACCAATACTTGCCATGTAAGGAAAAATAAGTTTTGCTACTTCTAGTCTTGCTAACAATCCTCCTAAAACAAAAGTTTTAATTAATTAATTAATTAAAAATAATAAAAATAATAAATAGAACTTACTTTTAATGCCTGACCAAGGCTTGCTACTTTGATTTCTCGAAAACCCTCGCATCACGACAACATCTTCAACTTTATATTTTGGGCCAGTACCGCTTAAAGAATTTCCTGATGGACCATTTGGTTCATACACTGGATTGCTGAAAGAAAATGCTGAATATTGGGCTCCATTTGAATCAGCACCAGAATCTACGGCTAGAGGACTTGTTTGAAGTTTTAATATTCCATATTGCCCTTTACTTGAATCTACTTGCTCCAATGGGTCCATAAGACCGATGTCTTCAGTAGGTTCAAGTGTTATTTTATTGCGTTCTTGACAAAGATGAATGTAAAATTGAACAAATTCTGTTTTTCTGACTAGTCGGTATAGAAATGTGCACAAGAGAATTGTTGTTATGGATAAAATGAAGAATATTGATGTATTTCCACGTTCATCATTGATTAATAATTTAGTAACTAATCGATTAATTGACACCCAAAAACCGGCTAAACTTTCACCTGCCATCACTGCCTGCGTATATCTTGATGGTAGCATTGAAGTGTATCCATAAAAACTTGATTGTTGAACTAAAAAAAAAAAGTTAAATTATTCTATATTCGAGTATGTATACTTGTAAACTATTGTCTTTATGTACTGCTGATGGTCCTGAAGGAGCTTAGAACTCCAAGGTTAAATAAAATTCATTATATATCTATCTATCTATATATTAATATATATATTAACTAAAATCGCATCTATGTCTAAATTTAGTAAATTGTAATTGAAGTAATTGTAAGAGTCCAAAAGTTCTTTCTGTTTGTAAATATCTTTTCTCTATCAGTGAAAAAAAAAAAATATTACATTAATGAAAAATTGATTAAGAATTTTGTATTCACTTACCCATTTGAAAAAAAAAGTCCTTAATCAATTTTTTTCGAATGTTGATTAAGTTAATATAACTTACTTGTATTTAATGACTGAAAAATATAATAAAAAATCACCTGTGCATCCTATGGAAACAACTGCAACCGCGATTAAATTAATTGTATAAGATGTAGCCACTCCAAAAAGTTCCCACCATATTTCTGATATAACGACAAAATTCAGAGTGACAAATGAAACAATGTACCCTGAAAAAAAAAAAAAAAAAAATATATATATATAAATTTATTCTATAGAATAAAAAAACCTTCTTTTATCAAAAAATAACAAAAACGTTTATTTTTATTACCAAATGCAATTCTTGTATTTAGAGATATTGTTTCCACAAGAATGTTATTTGCACAAACAGCGAAAAAAGCCATGGTTATATATACAACTGACATATCAAAAATCACGGTTGTGCCTGGATACCGGGCTTGAAAATAATCCACCGGAATAACAAAACTGCAAAACAACATTTTATTGAGATCAACATTGATGATGGAATCGAAAAATAATTTGAATTCATATCAAAATACCTGTTGTACGGCAATAAAAATCCTGCTCCCGCAAGGACCAAAGCAAGATAAACAAAATTATAGCGATCAACCGGGGGTGTCAGATGATCTAATCCATTAACAAACTTAAATTCATTTACACCCCTTGCTTTACCAAGTTGCACGTAACCACGACTTAAATTTTCATCCATATTGAAATTATTTAAAAAATGATTTCAGTTGTAATTCTTAAATGAACCTTATTTAGGGGCTCATATTATCATTTTTAAAATTAATAAACTATCTTCATGCTTTTTTAAAAACTACTTTTCACTAATATGCCTTATTTATCATTTTTTAATTTATATAAGTATAATTACACTGAATACATATTTAAGGAAAGCTCTTTACGTGTATTTTCAGCTCTACTCGCTTATCAAGCGCATGCTTTGAAAATCGCATTGATTTCAGCGCACGCATTCTCTTGTCATTTTCTTCTTTTCTTTACTTTTTATTATTATTATTATTATTATTATTATTATTATTTTGTTGCAACTTTATACTCTAATATAAATAATATAAAATTATTCAAATCAAAATTTTCATATTTCACAAATCATATGACGTAAGTTGTTTTAATTATCAATTACATTTTATTGTTTGGCTTTCAAGTGTCTTTTATAAATGAAAAATTAATTACTAATTTAAAGCCATCTAGCTTTTTTTTATTCAAAAACATTTTTTATACTGCGCGCTACGGATTATATTATCAACTATTTGTTTTTCTGTTACTTTAATTTTTTTGCGCAGCAATATTTATATATACTCATATACAAAGACTAATTCGACCGTACATAAAACTGAAAGAAGAAAAATAATAATAATTCATTATTAAATTATAAAATTTGGAGTAAAATATTAGTGGATTTTAAAATACTCAAATTTATATACGTATAATTTATCTTTATATTCTACGCTAAGAAAAATGTTCTATTTTTTATTGATGAATGAAGAAATTATCAAACTCCAACATCTATCTGTTTGAAATCATGAAATTATTCGCGCCTCATCAAACGAGATCTTTGTTATCGACGTAACAAAGTACCATCGAGCTTCCGAGTTCACCGCAAGCAATTTCGGTTGTCAGAGCAGTAAATCAACATCTGGAAAAGCTTCCAGTATGTTTTGCGGCCAAGCCTGTATGAATGAATCAGCTGATGAAATATTCGGGATCTCACAATAATAAACATTAATTGTGCTTATAGCTGTAATTGTTATCTTGTTACTCTGAGTACTTTACTCGACACAATAGTAATAAAATCCGAAAAACACCGAAGTAGACTTTCGTTATCTCATCGTGTAATTTATCTCGTATTTGACAAACAGTTGTGATTCAGTCAAAAAGTGTCATTTTATTTTTGTTGAAAGAGAAAAATAAACTTATAATGTCATTAAACACTGCACATGCCAATAATGGTGTTCTTTTGCATGCTGGAGAATGGTAAGCTGATATAATATAATACAAAAAGATAATAATTATTCTTTAGTGAAAATTATTTATTATTTAAATCGCTAAGTATGACGTAGATACGTTAGTATATGAAAATGACCTTCCTTCTATAAGCAAACGTACTTACAATGTATTTAATATTACTAGAAAATTGAATACTACCGTAATATAGATAAGAGGTTGATTTTCATAAACTTTTAAATCTATAAAAATGATTGCGCAATAAATTGTAACAACTGTATACATCTGTTTTTAGTATTCTTCTTTTTTGTGACAATGTCACAATGGAATTTCATGGACAAGAACAACCAGAGTTTATTGGTTCAAAAAAGGGAAGAATATATTTGACAACGCACCGGATGATATTTAATGCCAAAGACCAAAATGAAAAAATGAAATCCTTTAGCTTTCCTTTCGTCACTTTAAGTGAGGTAGAGCTTGAACAGCCATTATTTGGAGCTAATTACATAAAAGGAAAATGCCGTGCTCAACCAAATGGTAATTGGGTAGGAGAATGTAAATTTAAATTACATTTCAAGAGTGGCGGTGCTATTGAATTTGGCCAAGCAATGTTGAGAGCAGCCTCTATGGGTACAGAATTTAATTATAAACATTGAAATAAATGCGATGATTATCTTTATTTTTTTCTTTATAAAAACAACGATTATTTTTTTTTAGCTCAACGAAGCGGTCCTGGATACGATGCTCCTCCACCGTATCAGCCACCAACATCTAATTGGTATGCTGCTCCGCCACCAGCTTATCAAGCAGCTCCTTCTGGATACTATGGTTGGATGCCTCCCACCAATGCATTTCCTGACATGCCTCCGGGTTTGTTTTTTTAATAATTATTTATTCTAAAGTAGTTTACGTTTATTTTTTTTTTTTATTTTTACCAATGTAAATTTTCTTTATTTTTTTTTATATCAATAGCTAACAGTGTTTACATGACGGACATGCCACCCCCATATCCAGGGATAAATACTGCTCCTATGCAAGGAGGAAATCCACAACCAGTTGGTAGCCCAGCGTGGGCCAATCCTGAGTATAATCCAGGATACCAGCAAACAGGTTATCCCCAACCACCTAATTATGCACAATCTGCAGGCTATTGTAACAATTACCCTCAGAATCCACCACCCTATTCTCCTCAAGGATCATACAAACCGTATTAGCTATGCGTTTGATTTAAATTATTCACCAATATTCTTCACAATTTTATGTAGGAATAATATATTTGCTTTTAACACCAAGTTACAAATATTTATATTTAATTTAAAAAAAAAAACAGTTTATTGTATTTGATGTGTTTTAAAATTATAAAATTTAGATGGCAACTTATAAACATTCCAAAAGTTTTATGCTAAAAAAGTTCATTGATATTGTTATAACCAAATCATAAAATATTACTACGTTATGCTAGTTAAACTATATATAATAATGATTTCTTTTATTTAAATAATAAAGCTGTATGAAAACTCAAATTTGGTTTTATTTTGAATTAATTACTATTGTTATTTTTTTTTAACTCGAAATATTATCCAAACAGTTTTAAATTTTCATTATTATAATGATAATCTAGGTAATTTAGCAAGTAAAATTTCAGAAAAATTTATCACTAGTGATCATAATTTTAAAAAAATTTTTAAATTCTAATTCAATGATTTAAACTATTTGGTTTTCTATAAAATTTTAATTAAATGATAATATAATTAGTCTCAGTTGATTAAATTCATTTGATTGTAACTTTCATCTAATGTGGAATTTTTTACGAAAAATCTTTTTCAAACAACTGAAATCACATGTTAAAATTATATTTGCATGTTTAAAATATGATAAATTTATTGCTACCCCTATTTTAAAGTTTTTATGTATCTTATAATTATTTAAATAAAAACATCTTCAAAACCATTATATTAATATTTTTTATTTCATATAAAATATATCAAATTAATATGGACATTTTACTTAGTTTTTACAATAGTATTGACTAAGTAAGTATTTACAAAGCTGAATTGAAGTAAAAAATAAGAATGTATACTTGTAAAACAATTAAAAAAATTAATTGTTAATAAATTGAAAAATATCTTTTGTCAACCATACTCTGATGTAATAGTAAGACTTAAAGTATTATCTTTGATGAGTGTGGCATGATACCAGACTCTAGTATCAAGCAATACTATATCTCCTGTATCTACCGAAAAATTAAAACGTTTGCAGACACTATCACATTCAGGAGTTGGAGCAACTGACCATATTTTTTTTCCAGCGAGTTGTCCTTGCCACATCAGTCGAGGAATGTAATCCAACTAGAATGGAAAAAATGTCAATAAACAAGTTGTAAATAATACAACATAAAATAATGAAAGTGTTAACAATCCTTACATGCATGTTTGCTCCTTGGTCATACCCAATAAAAATATAATTTGTCTGTGGTATCTCTGTATCAAGTGGCAAAAAATGAGGTGAGTCATAATATTTCTTCATTACGTCTAATACCTGTGGATGGCAATTTTTCCATCCAACATACCAAGGATTTTTATTTAAATAATTAGATGCTTGTTGTTCGTTCATTGTTAAAACTTGTTTCAATAATGAAAAGTTACTTTTGAAGTGTAAAAATTGGCATTCATCTTCAATAGATTCATAAGCACCGTCAATACTTTCATATAAATTGTTAAAAAAATTTAAATTAAACATTTTTGATGCTTTCCATGTTCGAGCGGCATTTTTTATAATCATTGGTTTTGATGAATAGGCGTAAGGCGTAAATTCCTCCCTTGTAAGATTATTCATAATTAACGCGTTAATTACACCTCGACAGTAATCACAATTTGATACTGGTCTTGTAAATTCCCACACAAAGTAGTTATTTGGAATAAAACAGCGTTTTTCGAATATGAAATGAATTGAAAAATTAAGACTTGAGTTATAAAAAAAAATTGATATCATAAACGATAATAGAATAGTTAATATACATTTTTTATAAATAGAAAGATGTAAAATTGTTAATTTATTATAAGTGTTATCATTTTTTAATTTAACTGCTTTCTTTAAATTTTTTATTTCAATTCCTTGAGACAAAAACTCTTTAGTTACAGCAGTAAATATTTTTTTAATAAATATTATTTGGTCTTTTTTATTTGTTTTATTATCCATTTTATCAAACTTAATGGAAAATATTCAGCAATTGTCATCTTTTATTGAAACTTAGATTTTTTTTAATATCGATTGTAAATGCTTTAGCCATTTTTTAATTAATTACTGGCGTTATCTTATCCTGGTTATTTTATCTAACGCAGGAATTCTTCTCATTCATTTATCAGGCCAACATATTTTTATAAACACGCTCAAAATACACGAACATATTGAGAATTTAAATCCTCTATACTTAAAATAATAACAATATTATGTAATATTAAACATAAATAAATAAACTAAATACTTGTAAATATTATAAAAAGTAAAAACTAGTACTGACGTTTAAACGTGTACGTACAAGTGTCGGATTCTTCTTAACTAACTTCAACTGAGAAAGATGTTAGAGTAGGAAAATATTGATCACACGTGGTTTAAATTTCTTCTTGCCATTGGTGGGATGTTATTTGGATCTGTGAATGCGCTCGCATCGGCTGTTCAGAAAAAAAAAAAGAGATGAATTTATGAATAAGACTATGCGAAAGAATGAAAAAGAGTTTGTCTATGGTTATGGTGCTGCAAGTTGTTTGCTCTTATATACTTGATAATACAGACAGCCCACAGCTATATGACGTTTAAGTTATTTTTGTGATGAGAAACATCCTTTTTTTTTTATTTCATTTTTTATGTGATATGAACTTAAAATTCTTTTGTTTGAAAATGATAATAGATATACATATTTTTTATTTTTTTAGTTTTACACAAATTATATTGTAAAATCCGTAGAATAATGTAAAAAAATTAACAATTATGAAATATATATGTATTAATTTCGTTAAAAGTAGATGACTATAATGCTATTTTGAAAACAAAATGGTTTTTAACTACTGTACGCTGTATTTGAATTTATTTTACTTTTTTTATAGAAGTACAATCGACATTTTATACTTTTCTGGGCATTACTTTTTTTTTTTTCTTAGATAACTGATCATTTTTAAATTTAACCATAATTTTTACCAAATCTTCGTCAAGTATAATATTATACATCTTCAAAAATTAAAATTAATGCGTTTGTTATTCTGAAAAAAGTACTTTTTTACTTATAAAAAAAGTACTTTATACGTATAAAAAAAGAGATTGTGTCTTAGTTGTTTTTAAAATCTAAGATCTGACTGTTGATTCATAATTTATTGAAATTAATTGTACTATTTATAACATATCTCGGATCATAAGCTGCAACCAAATGAATAAATAACATCGACTAGGAGTTAAAGTTATTCCTTATGATTATTAATTTTTTCGTTTTTTAAAAATTGCGGTAACAATAAGTATTTTTTAAACTTGAGATTTAAAAATAATTTCTTAACTTTTTGAACACATATAAATACTAGAGCGACTCGCAAAATTAATTATTTTCTTTTTTAATTTCCCGCTAAGAAAATCGGGAAGTTATTGGTTTTACCCCGTTTTGCAAAAATCGAGTTTTCATCAGATCTCGACGCTTTAAAGTCACAGGAAGCTTCACTGACCACCCCCGCGATGTTGTCACTGTGTGTGTGTGTGTGCGCGTGTGAACCGATTATAACTTTTGAACAACTAAACCACTCGGAACCCACCAAACGGTGTTCCAAAGAGTTCCCTCAAACTTCGATTTTCTGTAAAATTGAACCGATTCAAACTCATAGATTTTGAGAAATCTCAAAAAAACTAAGAAAAAAAAATTTTTTAATTGTGGTTTTTTTGAAATAACTTTCAAACGGCTTTATCAATCAACTCCAAAAACTAAACCAGCTCTCAACCTTTAGAAACCATGCCGATCGCCGCTAATCCGGTCAAAATCGGTTGATTCGTTCGAGAAATATCGTGAACGAAAAATTTCAAAAAAAGTGTTTGTTTTTACATAACTTCGATATTTCCTTTTGGATCGTTTTTGATGCAATTAAATGATTATTAGAGTCTAAAAAAACCACGTCGATCGCCCCCAAGAACTTCGAAATCGGTTGATTGGTTCGTGAGTTATCGTTGTCTAAAAAATTCGGAAAAAGAGAATTTTTTTAATTTCTCCAAAATTTTCGGTCTGATCAATTTGTGTTTGAAAGTAAACCTTAGGAGTCGAAGAGCTTAAAAGCATAGAACAGCTACCTCTTTGAGCTCGGAGAGCTCAAAATAACACATAAATTGTATTTTTGAGCTCGAAGAGCTCAAAATGTGATAAGTGATATTTTAAACGCTTGTAGGTATGGACTTAGCAGGAAATTACAGGGATTCTCTTCAGGGTCAACCGTTTTCCTAATTTTTTTTATTTTGGAGTAAATTGTTTTGTTCATAAATATCTAATGCGTTAAATAATTAAGATTTTTGATAATATAAAAACATTTATTACCAAATTTAAATTATATTAATGATAAACAAAAAATTTATCTAATGTTGACTTGACATTTCGCTGGTTAAACGTGACGATTGTTACAATAATGTAGTTTTTACATTCGATGTACATACGAATAAATATAATGGCGATAATAATACGTGCATTATATATTTAACGTAAACATACAAGTGATTTATCGTAATAATAACTTTTTTGTAATTTTTTAAAGTACGATATTTAAGTTTGAAACGAAATCTTATAATCGAGTGTTCTTAATTGGATACTTGTTTACTTTATCACTTAAATTTTTAAATGCTACCACAAGTATTTTAAAAAATAGTAATTTCATTAATTTGCTAATAGTTCTTTTTTTTGTAGTAAATAAAGCAACGAGACACAGTGATAATCTAAATTTATTTATAATAATTTTTATAATTGAAATTTTTTCTAATAGGAAATATTAATACACGTGAAATAATTGATTCTCAACGTAAGGATAACATTCAATTAATTTTATTTATTTTTTTTAATATAAAAGTATCATTAATAAATTATTTATTTAGAAATATTTATTATAAATTTTGAGACGTTGGAAGATAGATCTTAGTTTAGTATTATAATTATAAATATTTTTCTTGAATGATATAATAGAAAAAAAATTTTCATTCGTAAATTATCAGAAATCAAAATTACCAGTGGGTACAGCGAACTTCGAACAATGTTCAGTATTATTATGGTTCATTGACTTATTTTGTTGTTTAACTATAAGTATTTAACAATATTTAATTTTTCACTGAAATAAAAACTTTTATAAATATTGTAAATTCAAAACAAATAATTTTTGTTTTAAATAAAACATTTGAATTTCAAGATTTCTCTACAAACATTTTTGTTTGAACAATCAATATAAAGCATTAAAATTACATTTTCTTGAAAGTAATTATCATTTTCTCAATTTTTTCAGTTTTATACATGGCCAAAACATATGAAAAAATATAAATAGTTTTCGAATATCTTTTCAATGGTAAGATAAAAGCCCCAATAAATGATCATATACTGGTACATGATCATTTATTGGGGATTTTACATTATTTCATATGAATTTACACCTTATAACGAGAAAACGTTTGAGGAATTGTAATATTGATGACTGACCAATTTTACTTTTTCCGTATTTATATTTAAATTATTACTCCGTTTATGAAAAGATAGACGACAAAGCTTTAGAACCGTATTAATAATAGTATTTATAATAATAATAAAAATGCGTGACTAGTATAGTCCTGTTATGACGATGTAGATAATTAATAATTGCGAATTATTCAGTATTTTATGTATCATAAGAGTTGGACACAAACAAGTCAGTTAAAAATAACACCACTTGCCAAGAACAGCATCTTTTATGGCAGCAATGTATTGTGCTGGAACCCAATATATCCAATATCTCGATGCTTCTGTTGTACCTAATTGGATTCCCTAAAAATCATAAACAGTGATAAAAATGATAATTACAATACTACTTGGCTACAATAATAAATTAATCAACACTAACCATAATGTGATATTCAGGAAACTCAGGAATTGGTTCACTGTGAATTCCTTTTATTGAACTCATTGATATTTTATCAGTTCTTTCTTTAGTTCCAATCCATAACTGATCTTGTTCTAGCTTGAATGTTAATCTAACTTTGCCACCAGATTTATTAAGCATTCCTGATAGTGGGCAATCTGGAAGAGGATCCTATAATCAAATACTTTATTGTAAATTTAAACGAATCAGGGTAAAAATATCAATGGTAAGTAATGATATCAAACCTTAACGTTTATAATTCCAGGCATAGCATCTTCAGGCACGCCCTTATCTAAAATTTTTTTATGTATCTTTTGTTGTGTCAATGGTTCTTTGCTAGAAGCTTCAGCAGCTTCATCTTGAACTTCTTGCTTATTGGGAACAGATACTGATAGTACGTCATCTAATTTGGACCCCACTATCATAACTTTAGCCCCTACGAAATAATAAAAAATTTAGATTAAAATATTTATTATGAAAATGTTTAGATAGGACTGTTTTAACATTTTTATAAAATTGAATCTTACCGTTCGTAACTCCTAGACTACGAAGAGTATCTTGATCTTTGGCTAGACCTTTGATCATAACTTTTTGCATTTCTTTTGGTACCGATATTATTTTTTGTAAGTGAGTTTTTAAATCGATAACTAATCCATCAAGAGGAAAAGTAATATCAATTTTTTTTTTATTGTAAATAACTTTAAAGTCTATATTTTCAGTAGTTTTGCTGGGCTCTTCTTCATCTGCTTCTATTTTATTTTTATCTACTGCATTAGTATTAGTTATTTCACTCAATTTTGCTCCAGAACATGATGAATTATCACTATGATTTTCATGACCATCAACTTTCTCCGTATCTAATAAAATAAAATTCAATTAAAAAACAATCCATTTCCTCCTATATAAACTGTTAACAATTCTTTATGAATCTATAAATATACAGTAAATATGATTATCATTGATGTCATAAACACAAAACCTGACTAGAATATTTTAATGCAATAATTTCAACAAAAACAAAACAAACATTTTAAATATAAGTATTTTTTTTTATGAAAAATTTTATTGTCAATTTAAATATTTCAGTAAAAGAGATAATTTTTGCAGATTAGATTGAAAATAATAATAATAAGAATTAAAAAAAAATAACAATAATACAATATATAAATATTGTGCTTACGTACCTACGTCCATGATGAACAGTTTTGATAAGTTTGGTTAAGTGTGGTTAGTAATACATAAATTGTAGACACGGTTAGTCAATTGAAACCAATTGAAACTTGCGCTCGCGTACGAGAGAAAAATGTTTTATACCTATAGATCATGTACCAACTTAAGAAAAAAAATAATGTAATGTTGCTATTATAAGCGGTTGTTTTAGAAAGAATTGATATAATTTTTTAATTCACATTAAACCAATTTCAAAACAAAAAATAAAAAAAAAATGAACCAATTTAATTTCGATAGAACGCTTATCTACTGAAGTTATTTTTACCTTAGCGGCTTAGGCACCACCGCCTATTTAAACTCTGGGAAAACTCGGGGTATCGACAGAGTTTATATTAGGCGATGTTTTAACGGTGAGAACGCGGAGTTTTGTGTGCAGTTGCAACACGAGATTCTGAAGGCGTTCTGACTGAGTTCCCGTGGAGTATTGCCAGTGTTTTCGACAAGTATTCGTGGAGTACTGCCGGTTTTCTCCCGGAGTATTGTCCGCGTTTTCACGAAGTATCGATAGAGTATTCCCAGTGTTCTCGAGGAGCGTCCACGGAGTATTGCTGGGGTTTTCACGAAGTATTCTCAGGGTATTCATGGAGTTTTGCTGTTCTGTTTTTATAATAATAAAAAAAAATTAGGAAAACGGTTGACCCTAAAGGCCATCCCTGCATCTTTCCGCTAATTCCATACTTAAGCGCTCAGAATTGGATTTATAACGTTTTTGAGTTCTTCGAGGTCAAAAATATAATTTTCGTGTCACTTTAAGCTCTCCGAACTCAAAAGGTTGATAGCAGTTTAATAAAACATTATTTTTTGAATTTTCAAACCGCAATAATTTTTGAATGAATGAACCGATTTTCACGCTGTTAGCGGCATTCGACGCATTTTTTGAAGCCTCATAAAGGATCATTGAGTCTAAATTGATAGAACAAGGAATTTGAAGTAATTCCGAAAAAACACTTTTTTCGGTTTTCTTTCGACAAAGATAACTCACGAACGAATAAACTGATTTTGACCGGGCTGGCGGCGATCGATGTGGTTTTTTTTTTTTTTTTTATGTAAAAAAACCAAATTTAAAAAATTTTTTTTAGTAGTTTTTTTGAGATTTCTCAAAATCTACCGATTCGAATCGGCCCAAATTGTATTCAAATCTAAGTTTGATCAAGCCTTTTCGAATGATGCCAACCGCGATGAAATCGATCAAGCCGTTCAAAAGTTATAAGAGTTTACATATACATACACACACACACACACACACACACACACACACACACCGTCGGAATTGCTTTCTAGGACCTCAGAACGTGGAAATCTGAAAAATACACGATTTTCGAAAATTGGAATGAAACCAATAACTTCCCGATTTTTGAAAATTTTCAATTTTCTTAGCGGGAAGTTAAAAAACGCCATTCGGTCTCAACCATGATGGAAGGTAGATTTCTTAGAAATAAATTATTATCTTTATTTTTGTCTAATAACTTGTGAGGCGAATGTTTCGTAGGTCAAATTAAAGGCATTTTTATAAGCTTTAATCTGCATTTTTCAAAAATAAGTTATTTTCTTGATCGAAAGTTATTCACTGATAAAATGACCGAAAATGCAATTTTCACTATTTTGAAAATTTGAAATGGCTACCATTTCTGAATTAACCGACCGATTCTGCTCATATTTGAATTAATTTGAGATAATTGTCCAGGAAATAGATATACCAAGTTTTATTGTAATGCATTTAGAATTTTGGGTGGTATCACAACCATAAGTCAATTATAACACACATCTACCTTAAACTGGTTCACTGTGATTCTCAACCCAAATAAAATAGCTAAAAATTATTGTAAAGTGAATGTTCAATAAGTCAAATTAAAGGTAATTTCATAAGCTTCCATGTGAATTTTTTGGAAATTAGCTATCTCTTCGTAATTAAAAAGTATTTACTGATAAAGTGACCGAAAATGCAATTGTCACTATTTTTAAAATTTTAAACAATCCGCGTTATATTACATTTATATATATATATGGGGCATTTGGCTTTTGGGTCTCCGATATTTTTGATAATTTTTTGTGTTATAGTATCGGTTGAAAGGAGGCTCCATTGACTTTTTCAATTTTTCTTATCCAGCCGTTTTTGAGGTATAGATTTTTGAAAAAAAAAAAAAAAAAAAAAACGTTAATTATTTTTTAAATGTCTAAAATTTGGAAATTTTTTCGAAATTTCAATTTTTCACTTTTTTGGATTCTTTCTTTTCGTAAAAATCGCATTTTTCCATTCAAAGTGTTCCAAAAAAGTGAAAAATTGAAATTTCGAAAAACCCTCCCACCGTTACCTGCTCTCTTAAAATGAATCAGTGGAATTTCACTGTTTCACAGCTATAAGTATACCAAGTGGTATACTTATAACTGTGAAATAGTGAATATATCACTAATTTCCAGTGATTTTCACTGTTTCAGATTTAGAGAGTGTGGGGAAAACTATTAACTAACGAATGAACTTTTATTTTTTTATTTCAGATGATCCAGCACCAAGTTATGAGGGGTACCGCAATTCTACTTGGTTTTTCCGAGACACGTCCGAATAATTGCTGTCATAGTCGTATTTTTTAATATTTCTTCGTGAAAATTTTATATAATACATTCTTCAAATGTCATATTTTACTGTACCATTAGTTTTAATAAATAGATTTTAACTGCGTCGTCGCAAAAAAATCACAAAAAACATGCCCTTTTTTTGTATGATTTAACTTTACCCCCCCCCCTCTCTCTTAATCAACAAACAACATTCAAATGAATCCTGCGAAAGTCCCGCGAAATTGTAATTCACTGTATTCTCCATAAGGCGGCAGCATTATTTGTCGCTACTAGCTGGATAAGTCCAAGCAGGTAGAGTAGTTATTAATTTTTGCGCAAGAGTGCAGAAGAGAGCTTGTAAAATAAATAGCGACCCCTAAATAATTATTACTAACTGAGATCGGAAAAGAACATAGGCATCGTTTTATTTATGAGTAGAGTTGCGCTCAAAATATTATTGTCAAATTTGGTAATTATATTTATCTGTTAAGAACTTTGTGATAATAAAAATGCCCCCCAAAAAGCGGGATAAAGAGCTTGAGAGCCAAAAAACACCACGAACGGATCAAATACAAGCTGACCATGAATTGTTCCTCCAAGCCTTTGAAAGTAAGTTCTAAATCGATTTTTAATATTATATTAATTTTTTTTGTTGACAGATTGATATTATGAAATAACATCGAGATTAGTTGAATATATTAATGTATAATTTAATGCTTGACAAGATATCAACATAACCCCAATCAAAAAACTTATAAACGCTGTGCGCGCGTCAGGTCACTTACCTCATATCTACATATTAACGTTTAATGTTCAGACACCTGCCATAATTATTCAAATCATTTTTATTGAATTTTAAATAATTTACTTGAGTTCGTATTTTTTATCGATGACATCAATATCAATGTACTGGAAGCTTTACATGTTAATCTAATTTGAGAAAATTTTAGTATAGGCAATTTTGTAGACACCATTTATTAACATCGACTAATGTCGTGTCTCTACCGTGATTAAAAAAAAAGGTTGATCTTGCAGGTCATTCCTGGAATTTTCCGCTAATTTCAAACTCAAAATGTTTGAAAATTAGCTTGCAGCGAAACTATTAAGTTTGCGACCCAGTTTCTGACCTTTTCAGCCTTAATCGAAATAAAAAAAAATTTTGACTTGAATAATGATATAAATTATACGAGACCATAAAGTAATATATTTTATCCCTCATTGATAGCAAATTCGAATTTATATTGGCTATATAAAAAAAATTTTAAAGATTGAAGACATTGCGAGAGTCATTTTCTGTTAAAGACATTTCCAGAACGAACCAACATATTTTTTAAGTACTTCGCAGCATTTGATGTTTTTTTATATTGAAGAACAGATTAAATTTTGAAATTGAAAGGTACAGTTATTTAAATCTATCAGGTGAAATTAGTTTAATTTTTCAAGAAATTCAAAATAAGGAATCCCTTTAGAATGCCACAAAACGCGTTACAATTGATCGATCAATTTAAAACTTGAAAAGTTTACGTAGATACAAGGATACTAACGAAAAAATAGTGAAAATGGCTTCCTAGAATTGATAACAATAACTCCCAAATTTTGAAAATCATTTTTTTTTCTGAGTGAATCTTTAAAAAAGTTTTTAAATTTCTAGAAGAAAAGTTATTTAAAAGTTTCATAGATATTGATAAATATTAAAACGAGTTTCATCATTTTTCTATTCTTTATTCAGCTCAATCTAATTAATATACAAGATTCAAGTTGGCTTGATGCTTACCTACATTAGACTTTAAAAATAAAAAAGCTATATTCTATCCGCTAATAATTAGATTAAATTCTGAATTATACAACTATAGTTTTAAATACTGCCTAGCAAATCCAACTAAGCTTGAAAACAAATTATTCCCACTTTGAGAGATCTGTTGAAATGCATAATTATTGAAATTTTTCAGAATATTTCAAGAAGTAAATTTGGTTACATTTTTTTTCGTAAATAACAGTATTGAACGATTGCTAATATAAAATCTTTTGGCTGATATCCCTTTTTTCTAAGCGGGGTATTGCTTTCTAAGTTGGAACCACTTTATTTGATAACACAATAAAATTAGTTGCACAGAAGCGAAAAAAAGCCATTCCATGTTCATAAAAGCTGTTGCTGTATCTGCAGAACAAATGACAGTATTTTAAAATCGATTGTTGCACGCCTCATAACGTGAAGCGTTTGAGATAGAGTTTGACTCTCAACACGTTAAAGTCAAGCAATTTTGTGACCATAGATAAGATGCCTCTATCTCAACCATATTGCGCTTATACGATAATATGAGTAGAAATATATCAAGAAAATACTCCAAATAATCCATCTCATATTTTATAAAATATCATTTTAAGTTGTTACTTTAATAAAGAAAACGGTTTCAAAAAAATGTTACGTAGACGTCCGGTTGTCTGTATATCATTTATATGTAATCATGATAACTCACGAAAAAAATTGACGTATCAAGAACGAATTTTTTTTTATTAGATGATGGCTGTATAATTGGATGTCGTTTAATTATAATCAATAAAAAAATAGAATCGGCTGGTCTTCTGTATATATATATATATATATATATATATATATATATATATATATATATATATATATATATGAGCTTTAAACCACACATGGGCGCTCTGTCATTTATTAAGTGGTGTATTTGCGCCCTATTTTTTAACTTCCCCCTATAAAAAACAGAGATTTCAAAAAAATCAGGAAGTTATTGGTTTCACCCCAGTTTTCGAAAATCGAGTTATCATCAGATCTCCACGTTTTGAGGTCCTAATAAGTTATTCTGACTATTTCTTCGGAGATGTCTCTTCGTAAAAAAATCTGGAGAACGGTTGACCCTCAAGGCCATCCCTGCAACTTTCCGCTAATTCCATATCTAAATGCTGAAAATTGCTCTCCGAGTTCAAAAAAAATAATTTTCGTGTCATTTTAAGTTCTCCGAGCTCAAAAGTCTGATGAAAATTTAATAAAACACTATTTTTTGAATTTTCAAACCGCAATTACTTCTGAATGAATGAACCGATTTTCACGTGGTTGGCAGCATTCCACGCAGTTTTTCTAATTCTACGATACACTTTAGAACACAAACTGATCAAACCGAAAATTTTAGAGAAATTGAAAAATTCACTTTTTCCGAATTATTTCGACAACGATAACTCATGAATCAATTATCCGATTTTCACGTTTTTGGCAGCGATCGACGTGGTTTTTTGGGCTCTAATAATTATTTTATTTTATTAAAAACGATCAAAAAAGAAATGTCGAAGTTATGTAAAAAAAAATCACTTTTTTCGAAATTTCTTAAGCTTAAGAGCGGATTCGTTTTTGGAATTGATCAGTCGAGCCGTTTAGAAGTTATTCTAAAAAAAACATTTTTTGAAAATTTTATTTTTGAAATTTCTCAAAATCTAGCGAACCGAATCGGTTCAAATTTTCACGAAATTTAATAGCAATATACTCTTTAGATCGCCACCTATCTCGATTCGATCGGTCGAGCCGTTCAAAATTAATACGAGGTTTTTACACACACACACACACACACACACACACACACACACACACACACACACACACACACACACACACACACACACACACACACACACACACACACACACACACACACACACACACACACACACACACACACACACACACACACGACGCCGTTCAAAATTAATACGAGGTTTTTACACACACACACACACACACACACACACACACACACACACACACACACACACACACACACACACACACACACACACACACACACACACACACACACACACACACACACACACACACACACACACACACACACAGCCGCACGGACAGCTTCCTGTAGCCTTAAAACGTCGAGATCTGATGAAAACTCGATTTTCGCAAAACCGTATAAAACCAATAATTTCCCGAATTTTGAAAAATTTTCAATTTTTCTTAGCAGGAAGTTAGAAATGATTTTTTTTAGAATAACTTTTAAACTCCTGTATCGATCGATTCCAAAAACTAATCAGCTCCTAACCTCAAAAATAACACCAATATCCACAAACCTTATTAAAATCGGTTCATTCGTTCAAGAGAAATCGTTGTTGAAAAATTTGGAAAAAAGTGTTTTTTTCAACCCTAGACTGGTCAACGTATGAGCGTGACGCCGCGCTCAATTGTATTTTTTTTATTACATCTTCAATATTTACTAAAATTATTCAAAAAAATTTGACTTTATACCCGAGAAAAAATGATTAGACCTGACCATGCCTGTTCATGTATGACCAAGCTTGAAATTAGACATGATCATGCTTGTTCATGTCTGAAGTGCTAAATATGCTCAGGCCTGACCAGGCCTGTCCATGCCTGATCAGACCTGTCCATGCCTGTTCATGTCTGTTAATTTCTGAAGCGGTAAATATGCTCAGGCCTGACCATGCCTGATCAGACCTGTCCATGCCTGTTCATGTCTGAAGTGTTAAATACGCTCAGGCCTGAGCAGGCCTATCCATATCTGATCAGACCTGTCCATGTCTGAAGTATTAAATTCGCTCAAGCCTGATCAGACCTGTCCATGCCTGTTCATGTCTGAAGTGTTAAATACGCTCTGGCCTGAGCAGGCCTGTCCATGTCTGATCAGACTTGTCCATGCCTGTTCATCTCTGAAGCGGTAAATACGCTCAGGCCTGCCCATGCCTGAAGCGTCAAATACCTCAGGTCTGACCAGGTCTGATCAGGCCTGTCCATGTCTAATCAGGCCTATCATAGCCTCTGCATAGTCAGAAATATGATGAAAATTTTTTCTTTGACGAAAAAAATTTTTTTGGTCATCACAAAATGTGCAAAATTATTTTTATCATTATGTTTAAATAATTTTGGAATAAAAAATTTGTTACATTTCCTATGGAATGTTTTGGTCTGCTCTGCTCCTGCCTAATATTAAAATCATTACTTATTTTATTATTTAAATAAATGTGATGTTATAATGAGATTCGGTTAAATAAATAAATTAGCACTATCAAAATATATTATAAAATCAATTTTCATCTTATATTTATGATAAACTTATTTGATACGTTATGTACTTCATAGAATTGTTATCACATAAGATAGCAACATAGCAGGCGGGAACTTCAAGGCGCACGGATATCACCAAAGTTAAGCAGCATTGAGCGTGATTAGTAGTTGGATGGGTGACTGCTGGTGTTACAGCCGTATATTCATGGTCGATTCATGCCTGATCAGGCCTGAAGACTCATGCCTGTTCATGTCTGATCATTTTTTCTCGGGTTGTTCCTTGAACATTTTAGAATATATTAATAATTTTTTCAAATATTTTCGAAAACGTTAAACTGCTGAAAAAAAATGTCTTAAAAAAATTTGTGGCAATTCGCGGGGCTTTCTTCATCGCTTGACCAGAGTCGTAAGTAGTAATTTTTATCCGCAGCGTTGCTGAAAACACCTCTAATCTTTGCCTGTCAAATGTGTATGAACTGACAACACTGCCACGGAGAAAATAAAACAGCAATGATTACTGCTTCGTACAAATATTAGAAAAATGTTTATCGTCAGTAGTGAGCGCTGTACGAAACACGACTGGATCGTGCCAGAACACGACTCAGTAGTGTACAGACAATAGTCAGTAGTTCTTATGTAGCGCTCTCTACTGTCCCAAACATTCTAACTTCATTTTCTTCCAAAGCAGTAGTGAGTACTGCACAAAGTAGTAATCAGTGTTGTTTTATTTTCTCCGTGTGTACGCTCTAAAAGCATTGCGGCAAATCCCTCATCACTTGACCAAAGTCGTTAGGTCGCGTTTGTTGACCAGTCTAGGGTTAAATAACTCCGCAATTTCTATCTGGATTACTTAACAAGCAGAAGATAATCTTTTTGTGCTTAAAAAACTGCGTTAATTGCCGCGAACCGAATCAAAATCCGTAAAATCGTTCGAGTGATATATAATTTAAAAAAATTTTAAAAAACAAATAAATAAATAAATATATATATATATCGATACTGCCATTCTTATACGTCGTATCCTACAAATTTTGACATATTGGCTTTTTTTGAACAATAGAATCACAACAATATTATGCAAGTCATATTAAAAATTTAGTGGTCAAATAGTTTAATAACTATTTTTAAAGTAGTACCTCCACGAAAAGCATGTTTCAGGAAACTTATGGAATTTTTTTTATCGAAAGATAAATGTATTAATAATTCACCACCAAAATTTCAGATCAATTCACCGCCCCGTTTTTGAGTAATTAAATTTCGAAATTGCATCTTTTACACATAGAGGTATAGACAGATGGTAAAGTAAGTATGAAATCTATTTACATCAATCGAGTGGTACAGATAAAATAAATATTTATAAATATTTTCATCCGTTGAATTCCATTTAATTAATGTTAAAATTGAACTGTTTTTACTGTCTGTTGTAAAATTTTCTAAATGTACGATACGACGTATTAGAATGGCAGTATCGATATATAACATTTGTGAAATATATAAAAAATGTAAAAAATTCATGTGAGTACTCAAATGAAAGGTCCCGATGAGTGGAATATTGAAATAAAAATATCTTGAAAAATATCATTAGATGACAAGATTCAATTTCATTTCTATATTTTATTGGCTTTTTTTATGATATACGCTTATTCCGATGTTGCACTCATCGAGACCTTTCATTTTAGTACCCACATGAATTTTTAATTTTATTTATATTTGTAAAATATATAAAATAGAAAAGGAAAAGCTGGAAAAAATCAAAGTTTTGAAAAAATTCAAAATTAGAAACAAATTTAATTTCCAGAAAATCATTTTTTTCGATCAGTAAAAAAAAATTTTTGTTTAATAATCCGAATTCAAGAAAAATAAATTAAATTAGAAAAAAATTTTTTTTTTGATTTGTATAAAAAAATATTTAAATTTTGAATTTTTACTGAAATTAAAAAACGGTTTATTCATTGCAATTTTTAAAATCTCTAAGGAGGCATTTTATAATTTTTAAACGAATCAAAACAATTTTTTTACTTTTGTTCAAAAAAAGAAATAAAAAATTTACTTCGTGGAGTGAAATCTATTATTAGTATAATTTAAATTCGTCTTGGAGTGAATTTCACTCCCGAAAGGAGAAAATTAATTGAAAAGCATCCACTCTGCATTTACCCTCAAATCACCCTGCATTTACTCCGAAATTCTTGACAGTGTAGGAGATAAATTGCAATTTCAGACTCCGGGTGGTATTAGCAAATGATAAAGTATAAGCCCTTGTATCGTCGTAACTGCAGCTATTAAATCAAGATTTTGCAATTATTCCACATGCAACAATAAAAACGCAAAATTTTTTGAATTAAATTCTTCTTCATTATTCCTGTTACAGTTTTAGGTTAATTTTATACAAATACATCTATTACATTTGGTTTAAAGGTGAAATTTTCGGCTAAATTTGCTTTGATTTCTATGGTTTTTTTGGTGAATTACTTTTTATTGAGAAGAAATATTTCATTTCTGAAAGATTCATGCTAAAGTTCATAATATCACTTTCAATTCGATTTATAATAATTTCATTTTTCAATCATTTTTAATAATTTTATAGTGGTTGAAAGTTACTGTGAATCAATTTCAGGTAGGGTATCGCAAAAATTGTTTTAGATTTCATTATATTGTAATCAATTAAATAGTTGATCATAAGAAATAATCATAAAACAATTTGGAATAATTTTAACTTAAATAATTTATAATTTATTTACTACAAAATCTTCCTTCCATCTAGAGTGTGGCTGAACGGCGTTTCTTATTTTTATATTTAAATATGAACATAAAACATTTCGAAAAGAATTCTTTAGTTCTGCGGCTGGTATGCTTGCATATTTTTTTAAGAAAAAAAGGAAAAATCAAAATTTAATAAAGCTAGAAACTTTATATTCTAGTTCATCACCTGATAATGTGAAAATGCGTGATTATTAATGTATACAATATTTTTTTGCTTACAGAACCAACACAAATATATCGCTTTTTACGTACAAGAAATCAAATTTCGGTGAGTTAAAAATTTTGTATCTACTGTTAAAAAATGATATGACATATGTCATTTTTTCGTTGTTGATTTTAAATTACTTTATTAGAATGTCAAATTATAGAACATTTTCGACAAAATATCCTATTTTGATAAAAGTTATCAACTTGGAGATTTAAAAGGTTCCAAACTAAAAAATTCCCTCGATAAAGAAGATATTTGGTAATTCTGAGCTTAGACATTTTTTTGTTCTTAAAAAAACTGTCACAAATTCTATTTTTTGTTTCATGCATCTGATGATTTTTATTTTTAATTTTAATTTACTCAATATACATTAAAAAAAATTTTTTTAACCTTTTTAGATCTTAAAAAAAATTAAAAATTTTACAAATTGAATAATAATATTATTTTATGAATCAACTATCAAAAAGTAGTATCGCGATGTCCAGTAAAGGAACCAGTACAAACAAACGTGAGATCATAATTCAGATTGGGATAATATCTAATTGTATTCTCATCCTGTTTTCAAGTGAAAACTTAAGAATATGACTTGCAGTAAAATTTATCTCTGATGTCTAATTCTAAATGACAAAAGCACTTAATTATTAAACAGTGATACATTGAAAAATCAGTTTATTACTTATTACTTATTTTAATACTTATTACTTATTAGTTATTTTAATTACTAGAACAGCCTACATTTTTTTAGCTACTTAATTTGACCCAAGTCTGGGTTATCAAAGTTGATTGTTTTTTTTTTATAAGCTAAAAAAATATCAGAACTTGAGTGATAAAAATTTGAGATATTTAAAGTTCTTTTTAAAAAAATTATAATAATTTCAAGTTTTGATAAATAACTCTCGCTGCGTATTGATTTTTAAACCAGATAAACGCTCGGGTTGAGCATATTAGACGAAGTTTGAAATTTGACAATCAAACCAAGACTGGGGTCAGTTTTTACATTGAAGTTTTTTACTGGAGTTCAAATATCAATGATTGTCAACTCGTATGCGGATGAGTCTTTTTTAACGGCCATTTTTTATATCTAATGTTTGTGTTCTAAACAGTCATACTCCACAAATATATTTACGTTCACAGTCTTATGAGGAGTATACTTTGAACATCAATATTTTTTTGAGTAAAGAATATAGAACCCCTTAACAATTGGTTAGTTTATTCGGTATGTTCGAAAATTATTTTTAAAAGTTCGCGTTGTCTCGGACATTTTTCCAAGGATATACCAATTTTTTAAAAACTATTGATTTGTAGGCATCTTAACAGAAAATATGTGTTCTTGAATAATATTACTGTGAAACTAGATCAATAATTATTTAATTTTTTTCTGAAAAGTTGTCTTTACAAAAAATTTTTCCGTCTAAACTTTCAGTAAAACGCAAATGATAAAGTATAATTTTCTCAAGTTTTTGAATTTGAGATATTTTTTTTGTTTTTGATAATTCAACAAATATATTTTTTCAACTCTATATTTATGCTAGTAATTTTCATCAACTTTTTAACTGGACCTAATTTTTGATTGCTAAGGAACCAAAAGATCTGCCGAAAGATTTAAGTTTAAATTCAGATTGTTCAAATTATTTCATAATTTATTAATAAACTCGCATTAAGATGAGATACTTATAAAGAGATAAAAATCATTCGTATTGATAAAAAAGAATTAAAATGTTACATACATTTAATTACATACTTATGCAAGAAAAATATTATTTGACAGTGCTCAAAGTTAGAATGCAAAAACCGTTAAGATTAAGATTAAATCGAAACTAACTTTCTAGTCTTTCGTTTATTAAACTTAAGTTTATCAAATTTTTTTTTTTATTTTAATGTCTAACTTTAGATTTCAACAGTAGATTTACTTAAACTTGTTGTTCAATTTGAACGCATTTTAAAAATAATAGTTGGAAAGGGAAAAGGAGAATTCAAGCCATAATTAAATATATTAATTAATTTTTGATAGTTAAAATTGCAATGTTTCTTTTTAGCCGGTATTTCTATATCGAAACTTGTCGTACATGAAAGAAAGAATGTCAAGGAGTCACAAAACTCGTTGTGGATTTCGAGTCAAATCAATATTAGAAAAGCTGATGGCGAGAAATAGCATCGAACAAAATCCAGAAATTCATGGATATATGACACTTACTTTTTTAGGTTTTTACGATAAAAAGAGTAAGCTGTCTTTATTCATTACATATACATAGTCACTTAATTAGTCATTTTTACTTTAATATAAATGATAAACGATTCTTCTATTACACAGTCGAAGGACCTCAGGATGCTGTTAAAGTGGAAACGCTATTATTAAAAATATGTCACAAAAAACGAAAAGATGTGACTTCACCCACAATGCAGGTAATAAAATATATTCATAATTTTATATTTTATTTCATGATAATTTAAAATTTTTATGTAATTCATTGTTTCAGGTTTCATTCGGAACCAGTGAAGTTCCAATAAATCCATCAGAAGATCATCCTCCACCAACAGCACCCACTATTTCTATATCTAATGAATCATTTAGCTTAGATAACGGCCACGTTGCAAAAACTTATATGTTGCTTTTGAGAGTCTATTGTATGTCTAATAACAGTTGCCTTTTAAATAACTGTGATTTAGATGCAGGTAAGTAACAATATAATTGTCATAGTTTGCGTTAATAAGTAAGAAAAAAATAACCTTTTATATTAAAATGGAATATTTATTGTTTATTAATATAGAACCAGCTCAAAAACGACGTAAATCTTCACCAGGAAGCTACAAGTGTGGAGAACAAGTAAAACTTTATGGCTCAGAATTAATTGTTTATGACAAACATAATCGTTGTCTATTAACGGATGGTGATTATGAATTGAGCCTACAGGAAGTTCAAACAAATGTTAGATCAAGTCCTAAAAAACATAGCTCTTGGGAATCAATAGTTGATATTAAAGAATGCGGCCCTTTTGAAGTATTCAGTCGAAATCCAACATTAAAATTTAGACTCAGTTGGACGGTAGAGCCCAGCAATAGGTTTGTCGATAGACCCGCACTTATTCACCCACTATCTAATGGAGATAATAAAGAAAATCGTTCAGGAAACAGTAAGTGTCAACATTAGTTGTATTTTTAGTCAAAGAAATATAATACTTAATAACTATATTCAATTTACAGCAGATGTAGATCGATGTGGTACAAATAATAATAACAACAACAATAACAATAACAACCTCAACAACAACAACAATAATAATAATAGCAATAGCAATAACATGCTTCAAAATTCTAATTCATTGACACCATCAAAAATGTCTAGTTCATACGAAAAATTGAATAAATCAGATGGAGCTCAGCAGATTGTTTATCAATTTTTATACAATAATAATAGCCGACAACAAACTGAGGCTTGCGAAGATTTACATTGTCCTTGGTGTTCATTGGATTGTGGCAAGCTTTATTCTTTACTAAAACATCTTAAACTTTGCCATTCACGGTTTACGTTTACGTATGTGGTAAGATTATTTAATATACAGAAGTTATGTAAAATTAGATTTTTTATTCGCTTAAATATTTGGTTATTTTCTTTTTTTTTTTTTTTTTTTTTGTTGTATTTTTACAGCCAATACCTCAGGGCGCACGCATTGATGTAGCTATCAATGAGTGCTACGATGGTTCTTATGCTGGTAGTCCACATGAACTCATTTCTCAACCCTCTGGTGTTGCATTTTCACGTACTGGACCTATAAGACGCACAAGTGTAACTAATATTTTAGTCTGTAGACCCAAGCGAACTAAACCCAGTCTTTCAGAATTTTTGGAACTCGATGAGAATGAATTTGAAAGTCAACGGCCTTATATAACTGGTCACAATAGGTAATTAATATTAAATAATTAACTAAAAATAGATAATATTTGTAAATGATTTTGCTGAAGAATATTTTTTATATTTATTGCAATTTTTTTTAGACTTTATCATCATACTGTAACATGTTTACCAATTTACCCAAAAGAAATGGATATCGATTCGGAAGGAGAGAATGATCCGAGATGGTTACAAACTAAAACCATGATGATGATTGATGATTTTACTGATGTAAATGAAGGTGAAAAAGAATTGATGAAAATGTGGAATTTACATGTAATGAAATATGGATATGTTGGTGACTGTCAAATACCATTAGCATGCCAAATGTTCCTAGAATTTAAGGGGAAAGAGTTGCTTATGAAAAATTTATATCGTAATTTTGTTTTACATATGAGCAGTCTTTTTGATTTTGGCTTAATAAGTCCTGTGATTTTATATCAAACTATTCAGAAGCTTCAAGAAATTATGAAAGAAGGTGGTGAAGACGGAGATGTAAGAAAAATATTACAAAAATCTCATGAAGCGCAAGTTGAACGTTGGATTTCTACAGGCATGCATGCATCTTCAGACAATATAAAATCGAGCAATACTATTGGTAAAACTCATTTTAATAATGAAGTATGTAATTCAAATGCAAGACGAAAAACTTGCTTGCAACTCGGTTCACCACCATCTGCACAAACAGTAAAACCTTCTATTCATAATACAGTAAGCAAACATGCTAGTATGATTAGTACACCATCAACAAAATCTCTTTTAACAAACACAAGTCAAACTTCTATTCCATTTTCATCGGTTCCAAGTACATTAAAAAAAATGACTTCTAATGATATTACTGTGTCTAGTAGTAACATTATAACCAAAACATTAGAAATAAATTGTAATTTGAATAACTTCAGTCAGAATAACCGGCAAGCTAATGAACCAATTAGAAGAAAAAGTACAAATTCGATTGTTATGGCCACGAATAACTTGGTACCTCTACGAAGAAAGTCGATGGCCAGCGATAACCCTAATAGCGAATATTACAAAAGAAAATTATTGCTTGATGCTATACCATCCGTTAATAGTGCCAATCCAAAAATGACACTGAATGACAATACTTTCTAAAAATAAAAAAAAAAACAAATAACTTTTTTTGTTACAAAAATTGTACTTTTCATTTGTACAGAATTTGTTAGAAATATTGATTATTGAAGTTATTGTAACAACTAGATAATATCAAGGTCATTTTTATTGTCTTAAGTTTTAGATTATTTTCATATTCAACATCGGAAATTATCAATAAAAAAAGGAGTCAACAATTTTCTTTAACTCAGAATAATGTTTAAAAATCATATTTTACATAATTTAGCCTGTAACATCAATTTATAAGTAATCAGATTTGACATTTTCAAAGTGACAAAAAAATCTAAAATTACCAATTTCTTCAAAATTTTTTTTCCATTCGAGTAAATAAAGAAGACACGAAATATAAACTTAAATACATACTAGTCAAATATAACAATTTTCAAATTGTATTTTTTTCTGTTTGTTTTTATTTTGTATTTTTTTTTTTTTTTTTTTTCATTTTCAAAATCTAAGTTGGCATAAATAGTTTGGAATTTCGGTAATAATGACTGTACCTTTGCATTAGAATGTTTTTTTCTTAATTTTAGAAAATCTATTGTTATGAGTGGAGGATTCACATGAGGAAATATACTGTAACGAATGTGAAAATGTTTTTAAGAATATTGTAGTTCAAGTAATTTATAAACCGATATAAATTAAATTATTGTCACTGAAGGAAAGTGCCTTCGAAAAAATCCAAAGTTAATTCGAATAAGCAATGGTTCAAAATAACTTGAACATTTACTCTTTTTTTACAGTGAAATAATTAATTATCTTATATCCTTAAACTTAATTAGATATATCGATAACTTAATTCTCAAATGTTGTAATTCACACTAGGTCATATCTTACAACTGCAATTGTATTATTAATTCACTTTGTCCCTGATGTTGAAATATTAAAAATTAAAAAAATCTTGAATTAATTTTACAAAACAAAAGATAATTTGTAAAGTGAAATTAATTCAAAAACTAAACTTACACTATAATCATATAATCTAATGATACTTTGTTCGAATATCTCCTGTGAAATTTTTTTTTGTGTGATAGAAAATTTGAGAATCAGGCCATCGTTTTCTAAGTGTTATCTTTTGGTATTCTACGTATCAATTAAGATTTAATATTGGACTTTGCATTTAAGAACAATTAATTTATAAAAAGTAATAAATCTATTTGGTAAAATTTCTTTTGAATAAAATTATTATTTTATTTTAATTATTTTTATTATAAATTTTCATTAATAATAATTGTTTAACACGATTATATTGAAAATACTGTGGAAAATTAATATCTATTGTTTGGATATTCCAATTTAAATTTCGTTGAGTAATGCAACGAATAAATTCTTCGTACATTGGAGCAACAGAATCTAAATCTGCGATTGTAAATACGAAACGTTTTTCTAGTGCAACATATGCTGTTCGTTTAATATTTGAATTTAATATTTTTGATAATGTATTAACAAATCCTTCTGTTATATCGTTGTCATAAATTACTGAAAAGAAAAAAAGGAAATAAACCTCGTCTTTCAAGTTTAATAATGCAATCAATATACTATGAGTGAATTGTATTTAAAACTCATAAACTTACCATCTGCAGCTAAAATAATTTTTGATTCTGTTATTTTTTTTGTTAAATCTGACGACCAATTACAGTTTAAAAAATCTAATTCCATGATATTAAATTTGGCATTAATATATTGAGAATTACGGTCGAAGTTTCTTTGTATTAATTCAATGATTCCATGGGAATCGATATCTGTGAAAGAAATATTTAATTCAAAGCACTTTCTTTTTATTAATTAAGTAACTTAATAATAATATGTTTTTTTGATTAAGAAATTTACCAGTGCATGTAACTTCACGAGCAAGCATACTTGTAACAATACTTGTTAATCCTACACCTGCACCTAATTCTATAACATTTTGATTTTTAAAGACGCTGGGATTATCTAAAATATAATCAGCTAATAAAAATGCTCCTCGCCACACTTGTAGTCCAACGAGTTGAAGTTCTGTGGAAATACTATGCTCTGAAATCAATAATTTTATTATTATTATTATTATTAATTAATTAATAAAGTTATCATACAAAGTTATTAAAATTGATGAGTTTAAAAATGTACTTAGACTAAATTTAACGAAATATTGACATTTTTGTTTAAAATTTTAGCATATCCTATAAACATAGACATTTACTGACCTATGAAAAGTTCGCCTGTTTTGGTTCTATCTAAAATCAAATCTTCATCTTCATCATATTTTATCTCTTTATTTTTTGTTTTTAACATGTATACTGGAAGATTGAAGATAAATTTTGAAATTTTAGCTGTAATAAAAAAACATACATAAAATATTTCGATATAAATTTTTAATCATTAATAAATTAAGGATTATTAGATAATTACAGTTATTTTTTTCACTTGATGAAGCTGTCATACAATTTTCTGTAAGTATTTCCGAAGTGACCCTGAAGTTAGACATCTAGGGATGATTAATAATAATAATAATTTAAAAAATCACAATTGAATAGTTAGTGCTTAAAGATAATTAAAAATTAATCTGTATTTAGTTGTATATTACATAAAATTATTTGTCCATTTACTTACGTTTATCAAATAAAGTTGAGCTATTATCTCAAAAGATATATTGAAATAAAGTAAGTACAATATGTAACTTATGTGGCTTAATGCCAACAGGTCAAGGTTTATCTGTCAAAAGAAACGAAAATTGCTTAGAACTGACCAAATTAATAATCGGCATGATTACTTTTAAAAATTTTCGTTTCATTTTTACCTCGTAATTTACAATGCAGAATGGCTTGTTATTTTTCAAAAAGGTAAAATATTGAATTTCATAGACGCATTTGATTCAAAAAAGTCTTTTTTAAGTAACAATTGTTTTCAGTTTAAATTTAATGACGTCAAATCCGTCATCTCTCTAAATTATATATATATATATATATATAAATTTTCAAAGTACGTAATTATTGACTAATGATTTTTTATCTTGTTTTGCTTCAAGTTTTATCAATAGCAATTAATAGTTATTAATCATTATCGTTATATCCCATTAATAGAGCAAAAAATGATTTTTTTTATCTTACAAAGTAAATATAGAATTATTTAATTGTTATTTTACTATTTTTAAATGACAGGTTATAATCCTGCGCATGTATTTTGTAAACAAGTTTCATTGTCCGCTATTATTATGCATATAAATGTTTATTTCAAAAATATTTTTTCAAAAAATAGATATAGTTGTAAATAAAAAATATTAATGTTTTATAGTGAAAAAAAAGAATTATCACAGCTATTAAAAATTAATATTTTTGATAAAATTAAGTATTTTTTGTAAGATCAACGATCGATAGTCAGTAAAATGGAGAAAAATAATCTTTAAAAAATATGCAATAAAAAAAAATATTTAAAAATTAATTATTATTATATTCTCGAATTGGAAGTGTTTCGTGGCTGTAGTGGCGAACCAATCAGATTTTACCACGATGAACAGAGCTTGCCACGCGTTACTGTGATCTTCCGCCGTATTCATGTAGTGCCAAACGTTTTATATTACATGTATATATCTATATATATAAGTTGCTACGTTGTCTTTTTTCATTCTTCAGTCGGTTTGTCCAGGCGTGTCATTCATCTCGTAACGTCACTTGGTTAGTTAATAATTTAATGTTTTATACTAATATATTAATAATCAGTTGATTAATTTTTTAATCTTAATTTTTAATCTGTGATAGCTCAATTGAACAAGTCTTGCCAATATTTATTGTAACGATGAGGTTCGCTGGAGTATTATTTGTAACAGCATTGTGCGTCATCGTATCCTTTGCTGACATCGCCTCTGAGGATGGAGTTCTCGTAATAACAAAAGATAATTTTGAACAAGCAGTAAAAGACCATCCTTATATTCTTATCGAATTTTGTAAGTACCTTTTGTTGTTATAATTTATCAAAATTGCTTTGTATTTATATTTGAATTTTGAATTATTTGTAACTGTCGCGTTACTTCTATCTGTTGAAAAAAAAAGTATGTAAGTAGTTACGGTAAAATCCAAGTCCTTATGGTATTCAATACGTCATCATGACAGAGCTCACTTATGCGGCTTTATTGATTTGCGATTTTATTTATTGACTCAAATTAATTTTTCATAACTTATGATATTTATGAATCGTTTCAAAATTTACTCAGATTTGTTTTAATTCTTTTAAGAAATTATAGTAGGAAAAAATTTTTAAGGATTAATCTCTATGTAAAGTATATATTTATACGTTATTTACACAAATCTTCTAAATGCTACAATTTATTAATTAATAAGGTTAAATGACCGTTGATATTTTTAAATATTTTACACTCAGAGTATTTCTATAAAATTTTTTAATTTAGCGGTAAATTTTTATTTACTTCATTGTAAAATTTATAAATAATATTTTAAATAGAAAAACATTGATTTTAGACGCTCCATGGTGTGGTCACTGCAAGGCATTAGCTCCAGAATATGTTAAAGCAGCTAAAGCACTTGAAGAAAATAATTCGAACGTTAAATTAGGTAAAGTTGACGCCACAATAGAATCCCAGCTTGCCGAAGATAATGGGGTGCGAGGGTATCCAACACTTAAATTCTACCGCAATGGTGTGGCCATTGATTACACTGGTGGTCGTCAAGCAGATGAAATTGTCGCCTGGTTGATGAAAAAAACTGGTCCTCCAGCGAAGGAATTGTCAACTGTTGATGATTCTAAAGCCCTGATTGACGCCAATGAAGTTGTTGTCGTTGGTTTCTTCAAAGATCTTGAATCCGCCGATGCTAAAGTTTTCATGGATGTTGCTAATTCTATCGATGAGCAAGTATTTGGTGTTACTAGTGATGAAAAAGTTTTCGATGAGTACAAAGCCACAGATGGTTCAGTTATTCTTTTCAAAACGTTCGATGAAGGTCAAAGTGTCTACGAAAATGAAATCTCTGTTGAAAAACTTAAGGAATTCATTGCAGTCCATTCACTTCCTCTTGTTGTCGATTTCAGTCAACAAACAGCTCAAAAAATTTTCGGTGGAGAAATCAAAAGTCATCTCCTTGCATTTATCAGCAAAGAAGATGGACATTATGACAAATATGTTGAAGGAATTAAAACATCTGCAAAGAAATATCGTGGACAGATTCTTTTCGTTACAGTTAATATTGATGAATCTGATCATGAACGTATTCTCGAATTCTTCGGAATGAAGAAAGAAGATGTACCTGCTATGCGTATTATAAAGCTTGAACAAGATATGGCTAAATACAAACCAGAAAATCCCGAATTGAGTGAAGAAAATATTTTGGAATTCGTTACGGCATTCTTTGAAGATAGATTAAAGAGGCATTTACTTACTGAAGACTTACCTGAAGATTGGGATGCTAAACCTGTTAAGGTTCTTGTTGGTACTAACTTCTATGAAGTTGCCTTCGACAAATCCAAAAATGTTCTCGTTGAATTTTATGCACCTTGGTGTGGGCATTGCAAACAACTTGTTCCTATTTACGATAAAGTAATTAATCATTTTTTATTTTATTTATTAGCTGTTATTTTATTAAATGTATTATTTATTAATTATCCTTATTTTTTTTTTTTTAGCTTGGAGAGAAATACGAAAGCGATGAGACGGTAGTTATCGCAAAAATGGATGCCACAGCCAATGAACTTGATACAATCAACATCAAGAGTTTCCCTACTATTATTTTGTACAAGAAAGAAACCAATGAGGTACATTATTAATTTATAAATAGTGTTAATAATTTTAATTTTAATTTTTTGCTAACAATTTAAAATTGTTTTTTTTTCTTTTTTCAGGCTGTTGAGTACAACGGTGAACGAACGCTTGAAGGTCTTTCCAAATTTATTGATTCGGATGGTGTTTACGGACAAGCTGCCGAAGAAGTTCAAGAGGAAGATGAAGATGATGATGTGCCAAGAAAAGACGAACTTTAAATTTTGAACGTTAAAAAAAAACTACTTCATAACTTCTCGTTTCTTAAATCACTTAACATTCAATTTTTGTGAATTAAATTGTATCAACGATACAACCTACAATGATAAAATATCTAATTCAATTTTTTAAAATGGATTAATGATGAATTTCAACGTATTTATGAATACGATGTATAAAAGAACAATCTAGGTAATTTAAAGATACCTATGATTATTAATGATTATACGCGTATTTATTTTCTTACTAATAACTTTTAAACGATATTCTTCCGAGATCAATTAAAAACAAATTTCCATACTTCCATAATGGAGATCTTTTACTTCTCGGTTCAAAAGAGTCTGATTTAATAGTAGAACAAATAATTATTAGATATCAATCAACCGTTATCTTTTGTTTTCTTCGTATTTTATTGTTATTATTACGTAACATTCACTAATAGAATATATTAGCATTCGATATGAATATGAAAGATGAGATATTTTCTCACTGAACTAATTTTTTCACAAAATAATTACTTATAATTTTAAGAATAAATAATATTTCATTTGAAGCGTAACACACAATTTAGAAATAAACTTATCAAATGTAAACGTAATTTTATTATTATTGCATTCCGGGTAATCAGGGAAGAAAATCAATAGATTATTTTAAATAAAATTTTTTTTTGTAATTTTTGAATGTGAAATGGTTGTTAAATGAGTGAACTGAATGATATTAATCTGTACTAGAACAAACTAACAACAATTTGTGAAGAATAGCAGAAAAAAATATACTTTTAAGATTTTTATTATATATATATATATTCTTAATTTGTATAAAATATAATATTATACTTTATCTCATTGTTTTTCATTATCACTTCTATATTTCATTTTTTATATTTTTATGAGTTGTGTTAAATCATTTTTTTGTCCTGTATGATATATACTTGTGTAATTAATCTAAAAAACTTCATAAGTATGAATATTTAAATTTATGTTATGCGGATTATGCAGTTTTTAACTATATCCGATTTTTTTTTTGAATAGGTGCTAAAAAAAGGATTCAATAATATTCAGTGTAATATATCATACCTATTTCTATATTCATTTAAATTAAAAATAAAATTTGTCTTGTAAGTCGTATCAAAATGATGGCATAAGGTTATTCTTTCGAATTTAATTGTACTGAAGAAAAAAAAAATTATAAGTTTATATATTTGATAGATTTCTTGTTTAGTTGAACTGAAATTATACGTATTTTTTCAAATAACTATTATATATTTTTAGAATATTGATAAAATTTTATGTGTTCTAATAATTAAAAATCGATATAAATTTGCCATCTATAAAAATTTGTATTTATTTATAAACTTCCATCTATTTTGATCACAGAAACTTTATAGATACCTAATTATCGATAAGATTTGCGCAAAAAAAAATTATTTTACTGGATTCTTAGTGTAATTCAAAAACATAAACAAACAAAGAACAATAAAGAAGTTCAATCAAAAAGTAATCGAAAATAAAATATTATTTTATGACTACATGCTATTGAATCAGATTGAACGTTTTGAATGAAATTTAATTGGAAAAACAAAATCATGAATGTTGAATAAAAATTCGGTGCTCTGACCGTACGCCGGTGGATATTTGGAATGCCCCAGGTCATCAAGCAGATGCGGAAATTTGACTAAGTGTATCTCCGAGATAACATGCTCGTGGCAGCTGACTAGTTGAGTATTAACATCTAATATGTGACAAGGTCTGATTTTTCGATATAATTAATTATTCAATAACAAACCTGCCAATTTTATTATTTGAGATGCATACCAAAAATTCTCGTTGAGATAATATTATTTTTTATTAAAAATAAAAAAAGGTACTAACAGTTAATTAATAATAATTGCGATTATGCAATTATATTTCATCTAAAATAATAATAATGATGTAATATATATGATTTTTAATTTATAAAAAATTAAATAATAGGTATCGTTTGCAGCTATTGAGTAGTGCATAAGTTTTTAATCACCTCAGTATTATTAAAATTTATGCACAAAGAAACATAAAAATTAAATAACTTCGAAATTTATTCTCGGATCGTTTTAGATGTAACAAGTTAACTATTAATGCTTGAAAAACTATGTCGAATGCCACTAAGCTCTCAAAAATCAGTTGATTTTTTCATGAGATATTTAATTTTTATAAAATAGAAAAAAAAAGTGATTTTAAGATAATTTTTGAATTTTTCATCAGATCGACTTTCCTAACTAATTTTAAATTTTAGCACTTATTTAATAATTTTAAAAATTTTATAGCAAATAAATTATCACAGAAAAAAATTAAAAAAAAAAAATTGACAAGTAAAAATTTTAAAAACTAAAAAATGCAATTTTTTAAAACCATTTTTTGGAACAAATTTTTTAGATAAATAAATTAAAAAATTCTTAAGTGACTGCTAACTTTAATGTCATTAATTGTCGCCAAGCACATCAAAATCGGTTGATTTGTCCGAAAGTTATTCAGATCAAGTGTATTCAAAAAATTGTTTTACTAAATACAAACTAGACTTTTGAGCTGTTCAAAACCGGAAAACAGTTCTATTTTAGAACTTGGAAAGCTCCAAATAGCTGGAAAACCATGTTAGTGAGCCCGAAGAGCTCAAAAACGTTGTGATAAGTGAAATTTAGAGCTCTTTGCATTTAAAATTAACGGAAAGTAGCAGAGATGGCCAGTGGAGTCAACTGTTTTACTAATACAGTCGATTCTCGTTATGAGTCTTAGGGCCAGTTTTTCAATCCAAGGTAAAATTTTATTCAGGATAAAATTATTATTGCCAGTATATTTATATGTATGAAATATATAGATATATTTTATCATTGGATAAAATTTTATCCTGGATTGAAAAACTAGCCCTTATTAGTGTATCTAATTTTTTTTTCGTGAAGAATAAAAATTTTGTTTTGGTAATAATAGTATCCTTTTAGTTAATACAGATTAAATAGTTATAATAGTAGATTACATGTAATGTATGCGTCTGCTGACTATGCACTGATTATGTTATTTTACAATAGAAGACTTAAATAATAAAAAAAAAAAGGCCATTCGGCAGCCGAAATGGAAGTAGATTTCATGATGAAAAGAATTAAAAACAACTAAAATTATAAAAAAAATAAATAACGTTCAATAAAGAAAGAGAAGAATTATAGTACTTCGGTACTTTTCAGTCAGTTCTGTACAGACAAAACGACTGCAAGAGTAAAATTTCTTAAAAATGATCCTAAGATGGAATTTTTTTTTGCTTTAGAAAAAAATGTGAGCACATAAATTGAAGCTTAATTTCTCAGCTTTCAGATGCATTTTACAAAAATCGAATAACTCGACGCGTTCAAAAGTTATTTGAAGGAAAAGTAGTGAAAGTATCAAATTTTCAAAATTTCAAAATTTTGAACTTGTGTAATTTCTAAACTATTTGACCGATTAAGCTCATATTTGAACTTGACCTTCCTAATAGTCGATAGAATGAGGGTGTTGAGTTTCATTAAGATCCCTTAAGAATTGTTGACGCTATCGTCGTGACAAGCCGCGTTATATCGTATATATATATATATATATATATATATGAACTTTTGAACCATATGTATTTTCTGACTCAGATTGTCGAGTTAGGTCGAAATATAGTCAAATTAACGGAAAATTACGTCATGAGGACAAATGCAATAGTTAGATTTTTATGAAATCTACTAAAAATTGATAATAATATCAATAATAACAACATTGAACACAAGAATAGTAATATAACTTTATAGATTTCTGTAGTCTGAACCTCGATGATTTTCATCTAAATATTATTGAACCAAACTTAAATGATAGAATTTCAATCGAATTTTTCAACTAAGTATGGATTATTAAAATTTTCATAATTTTAGTTGGCGTGAACAGAGCCTAATAAATACTATTCGTCTATTTGTTTGTTTTCCATGACAACGATGATTACAAAGCTCTCCAATATTGATTATACAAATTAGAATAATTTTATTTGTTTTTGTAAGCTGACGGTGGTCTTCAAATAAATAAATCATATTCTAAAATCATGAATAACGATTTTGATACACTGAGCATGATTGTCAATAATGAAGAAAATAATCCAGAAAGTGTTTCTTCATCTAATACTACTATTACATCAGATTATCGGTGAAATATTTGTCATTGCTAAATTTGTTTTTATTATATTTCAGCAAAAGTAACATATCTGATTATTTTTTGTTAACAGGATTTTATGGATGTGGAATAAAATAATGAAATTTTTTAATCTTGACCACGATCATAAAAATTTGTTCGAAAAATTATTTGAGGTAACCTATAAAATTATTTGTGATAAGTTGATCTGTTACTTTTATTTGATTCATAATTATAATTGAATGATATTTTTAGGAAAATGAAGTAGAAGAGAACCTGATGAAATTTTTCAATTTAAACTCAATTGAAGAAGTAAGTCTAGACAATATAGTTTTATTCTTTTTTAAAACTTATCGAAACGAAATCATACAAGAAGAGGTCGCATTTTGGGAAGAAAGTATAAATATTATTCAACAAATAGTCAATTTTTTTTTAACATAAATAAATTTAGATATTGATGCAATTTTTTTTCTTTTATCTCTTTCAGATAAAGGACGATCTCAAAAACCGACCAAAAATGCTTACGGTAAAAATAAATATGTGACAATTCATTGTTCTCTTAACTAATTAATAACTAATGAATAACTAGATTTGGAGTATTCTATTTCACAAATCAAATCAATATAAAATAAATTAAAAAATCATATTTTGATCAATTAGTTTCTGAATTTATAATTATTTGTTGAAAGTTTATGTAAATAAACTATAATAAACTGTAAATTTCCATTACTTTCAGGAAAAGTCGAAAAAACTGATGAAGAAAAGAAAAAAAAAGGGAAAAAAACTAAAAAGGGAAAAAAAGACGAAAATTATGAACCAAATAATGAGACTCTCAGCACATTATTTTCTGGTGTAACAACAACTCATATGTATTTAGACGTTGATGGCGATGATGAAGATAACGCAGACCTTGTAACACCAGAAGATTATAAAGAAAAAATTTCTGGTAATAAATTATATTTATACAAATTTATATCTTCTATAATTTGCATTTAAATGCACAAAAAAAATAAAATTTTCATTTGCTAAAAATTTTGGATCGAGGTCTAAAAGTACTTTTGTGCTAATTTTTTTAAATATGATAAAATTCTCGAAGGTTACTGCTTTGAAAGATCAATATTTTTCAGTATTTATAATGATTCAAAATCAATAAATTTTTTTTTGCTCGACGGGCAGAAAGCGTCAAATTTCGGCCCGCTGCGCTAAACGAAATTGGCACTTTCTGCCTTTGTCGAGCAAAAAAATAGCATACACTCCTTGGGAAGTAAATAAGAAAGCCTCAGATCACATGTTTGTTGACCTCGGCTTTGCCTCGGCCAACAATTACATGTGATCTGAGACATTTCTTACTTTACTTCCCTCAGTGTGTAATATACTATTCTTTCAATCATCATTTACATTTTACTTGTAAGTAGATTATTTAAAACGTTGGGTATTTTACAGCACTAACTTCTCCATTTGCACCAATGCCCGGTGAAGAGGATAAATATATTCTTACACAGGTAAAAAAAATTTTTATTTATGTTTCATTTTTGCTGATTTATTCATTAAATGTAACAAAATATAAACTTCAATAAAATAATAGCGGAAAGTTGCTTTGATTGTCACAAAATTTAATTGTATACAAAAAAGTATAATCCATTAAAAATTTATTTTTTACCTTTATTAATTTTGTAGCTTTCATTGTTATTTTTTATTAAAAATTATATTAGAGTTAAAAATATGACACAAAATATTGAAAATTTAGAAAAGATGAAAAAGATAAAAGAAGACAGTTTTTTTTGTTACAATTGAATTACTTCTTTTCTCGATGATTTCATGCATTTACTTTGTGATTTTAGAAAGTGATTGATAAAGTCATTGAGATTCCAGTGATACACATGATATCTGGACGAATAAATTTGTCGGACCCAGAATTAATAGAAACAAATTTTTTCTACTTTTTGAAAACAAGCGATGGAAAAATTCCTTACTTTGATTCTCAGGAAACATGCGATAATTGTATGTTAAATTATATAGCCGTTGGATCATTAAATGGAAATTTTTTAGAATTTCTTAATGAGATGCTGACCAATGTAAATTTAGTTTAGTGTAATTTTCACCGATGTTTTGATAAACTAAGATAATTAATCTAATGCTTTTCTAATTTTTGAGAAAGGTTTTTGAACCTCTGTTGGGAAACCAGTATTATACTGCAGCTTCAGAACAATTCAAAAAAACTCAAAAAATTAATAACAGTAGTGACCGTGCTGTCAAAACTCAGATCAGTCATACTAATACAGAATCTTCGGTGAATAAGGTAAAATTTGATATTATTTTACTGTATTTATTAATGAATATTAGTTTAGTTAATCATTATAACTTGTAATATAGAATGAAAAAATTAAACGATCTCTGAGTGTTCAAAAATCGTCGATAAAAAATGAAAATTTGAAAAAATCTCAAAAAAATTTTACATTAGTAGAAAATAATCATACGAATACGAGAATTTCACTTGATTATGTCAAAGGTATGATGACAAACAAATAAGTAGAAAATTTTACACAATGATAAAAATATTTTCTTTATATTCTTTATCACAAAAGAAATAATTTTGATCCAAGAAAATTTTTTGAGGGCAACCTTAAGAATTTCTCATCTTGTATTCTGACTTCTTGGCTTAAGAAACTTACAACTTCAATCGATGCCCGAGAAAAAATGTTCAGGCATGACCATGCACGGAAAAAAATTAACTGTTGCTGCAACAGGAGGCAGTCATGTTGCAGCAACAGGAGAAAATCCTGTTACAGCAACAGGATTTTCCTGTAGCTGCAACAGGAGGCAGCCATGTTGCAGCAACAGGATTACTACTGTTGTTGCGACTTAATAATAAAATATAGTTGGGTCATTCCATGTCAAATTGACCTACAGTTGGAATTGACCCCTTTTGATATGGATAAATTTTGGTCAGAAATTTTCTTTTATCATATAACGAACTTCTGATTATTTCTGATTTTTATTGGATATTTATATTTGTTTGAGTTATTTGACGTCAAAAACTGTTATTGAAGTGAAGAAACGGACAAAACATATCATGCGTTAAAAAAAATAAAAAATTATATCATGCGTTAAGCCTGACTTTAAGATTACTTAAAAAAAATAAAAAAAAAAAAAGTTCTGAAAATTTCAGAGTCTATTAAGATCAGTACAAGGTACTAAATAAAAAAAAAATTGAGCTAAAATTTTAATGTCAATCGACATTTTTGACGATTTTCAAAAATTTAAGATTAGACAAATTTGGCATTTTTCAAAATATTTTTTTTCGATAGCCCCAAGTATCCCCTTTCAAACAAACGAAAGGTTATTCCTGTATCTATAATAGCGTTCGCGATATTCCAAAAACAAGATTGAAAAACTGAAAAAATAGCGAAATTTTGAGTTTGCATATCTTTTGAATAAAATTTTTTAATTTTTTTTTCCTCTGGCAGAAGTTCGTTATATGATAAAAGAAAATTTCTGACCAAAATTTATCCATATCAAAAGGGGTCAATCCAACTGTAGGTCAATTTGACATGGAATGACCCAACTATATTTTATTATTAAGTCGCCACAACAGTAGTAATCCTGTTGCTACAACAGGACTTTATCCTGTTGCTGCAACATGGCTGCCTCATGTTGCAGCTACAGGAAAATCCTGTTGCTGCAACAGTATTTTTTCCTGTTGCTGCAACATGACTGCCTCCTGTTGCAGCAACAGTTTATTTTTTTCCGTGTGCCTGTTCATGTATAATCAGGCCTGAAATGAGATATGATGCATGATCATGCTTGTCTATACATGGTGTCAGACATGATCATACCCTTTCATACATGATCATATCTGAACCGTTGAATACTTCAGGTCTGATCAAAAATGGCCATGTCTGATCCAATCTGTAAGGTTTAAAACCCTTAGTTCTGATCAGGACTGATCAGGATATGTTGGTTCATCTCTTACTCACCATGTTATAAATTGATTCAAACATAATCATGCATGACAATGCCTGTTCGTGTCTGACCAAGCCTGATCGAACTGTTTCTTTTGATTTTTTTTTAATCAAAAAAATACTCAGTATTGTCTATTATATATTTGTCAATTATATAATATATTACTTTATACACAGTCTGGAAGAAAAGTTTTATCGAGTCAAAAATTGTAAAAGTTTAAGTTCACAATACTAACATCAAGAAGTTTATAATCATCCTTTCCTATACTTTGGAATTTCACAAAATTTCGTGAAATTTCTGTAATTATTATATTACAATAAAAAAAACGATTGCATAAGATATCTAAAATTTTCCGAAGTTTCATTTAATTTTGTAAAATTTATTAATATTACTGTTTTTAGTTCCTGGTTGTAATTTATTATATACTTCTATCAAATTCTATTTGACTCACAGAGTTTCATAAAATTTTTTAAATTTTCATAAAAATTTGTAAAAGTCCATAAAAAATGTTTATTCAGTACCGCAGATATTACTAGCAAGTCTGTTATAAGAACTTTTACAAAATTTTATGTTTCCTCAAATTTTATGGAATCCCATAAAATTTTATAAATTCTTCGTAGACTCAGAGCTCGAAAAAGTACACAAGTTGTATTTTTGAGCTCGAAGAGCTCATAACTTTGGAATAAACTTTGGAATAAAACAACTTACCGAGCGTTTTGAACTTGTATATAGCGGGAAGTTCCACACTGATAAAAGGATTTATTTACATTAAATAATACTTGTTAATAGTGAACAAATCATTTATTAGAGACGATTTTTTAGTTTTAAACAAATATTTCTTAGTATTTAAAATGATTTGTTTGTATTTAATAAATCTGATATTCATTTATTAATTATTAATAAATTTTTTTAAGTTCTAAGAAATATTTGTTAAGGACTAAAAAATTGCTTCTAATAAATGATTTGTTAAATATTAACAAATATTTTTAATTATAAACAAATCCTTCTATCAGTGCAGGGATGGCCTGCAGGGTCAACCGTTTTTCAGATTTTTTTATATATTATTTTCCAAGCATGAACAGGCCTGATCGTGCCCGGTTATTTTTCATGCCTGATCAGGTCTGAAGACTCATACCTGTTCAAGTCTGATCATTTTTTCCCGGGCAAAGTCAACTTCTTCAACCAAGAACGATTCTGTTTATCTAAAAGTAGTTTCGCTTTCTTTCAAGAATTATATATTTTTGATTTAAGTAGAAGATTTTTCTTTCAAAATAGTAAAAAAACCAAATTTTTACTTTAATATATTCTGAAACGTATGTAAGACTTTTTTTCAATGATGTAGAAAGTAGGAGAAATTCGATCTTTTTTGGTTTTAACAGTATTCTTAAAATAGATGCTAACATTTTGAACGAAGGTTGCAGTCTATCTTAACCCAAGGGAAATAAATTTTTGGCGAAATGTGTCTTTGTTTGAAAATAATAAAGTTGAAGGCTCCGTTGAAGAATAAAATTCTTAAATGGACAATTTTCTGCTCTTATGCCAAGAGTTTTGATTTATTAATTGGAGAGTGAACTTTTTGAACTAAGAAAACGGATATCTTAAAGTACGAGTGAAATTTTGAAGAAAATATTTTTCTTAAATCATAAAGTTTTTTTTCAGTCTAGTTAAATTTCATGATTAACATAGTAAAATGATTGTAGATTGTTCAGAGTTATCGAAAAATGCTGATAATTTATGTCAAAAACACGTCGTTCAAACTAATATTAAAGAACTGTTAAAATATCTTGAGGAACTGGTGTCATGTGTGCAATGGAATTTGATGAATTCTGAAGATGATTTACTGTTACCTTTACCGAAATCATTAGACTTAATGAATTTTAAATTAAATCCATCTGATAAAAATATGCTTGAACAGGCGGAGAATATTGTTATCAATTGGGGGAAACATATAAATAAAGTATTAGAAATGTATAAATTTCCCCTCGACAATGGCCCTACGGCCATCTGTGATCATTGGCACAAAAGATTGATTAGTTTATCAATATTAGTAGAGAATTTGAATTCACCAACTGTGAAAAAAATAAAATCAATTTTGAATGAAGCTCGCTCATCCATACTATCAGCATTTTATTGGTTTGAAATTGAGCTCTGGAAATCTTACACCGAAGCACGTGACAATGATAAGTTTCTATTTACAGTATCGCGGCACTTTAAAGTAAGTAATATAAATACAGATTGCTTATTGATGCTCATATTCTAATATGTTATATGTTACAAAATTTAACAAATTTACTTTTTTCTAAGAAGAAAACAAATTACAAAAGGTACAGAAAATAAGGAATTCAAAATATTTCTAAACTTGTAAATGATTTGCCGCAAACTGAATGTTTAAAAAAAATGGTCAGATTGAAAAAAAACAAAGAAGGGCTCCGAATTTCTAGTTTTTAGACTTTGAAGTGGAAATTTTTCAACATTAACGATTTTAAAATAATATTATTCTGAATTTTTAAAAATTTACAATTTTTTTAGGGGAAAGTCAAAGAATTTTTTTTATTGTATTTTTTCTTGATTGTTTTGGAGCTAGAATTTTAGAAAAAAAATTTACTTGTACGGAAAGAAAAAAATCTTAGTTGAAAAAATAATTTTCTTGAAAAAAAAAAAAATATTTAGGAAGATTAAAATTCTCTAAACTCAAGCAAAATTTTATTAAGCCAAAAAAAATTTCTTCTTGCTCCCAAATAACTTAAGTTTTACGAAAAATTTTCTTAATTTAAGTAAACTTTTTTTTGTGTGGTTTAAGTCAATTTGATCTAATTTCTGTTTTATTCATTGCTTGTTGGTGATTTCTTATAGTTGAGGTAAAACATATTGGAATAAGAGTGAGTTATATTAGTTTGCTAATTCCCAATATGAATTGATTTTCTCATTCGGGTATAGTCTTAATGATTGCATTTCTTTTATTTCGAGAACATTTTGGCATAAATAGCTCAAAAGAAATGTTTTACAGGGGTAGAATAATATGTTCAAGACAATACTTACGTAAAGAAACCTAATTCGATAAATAATGAACCCCTTAATATATTATTATTGTTGTTAAAATTTATTAATAATGTTTATTAAATAATTTAAATAGTTGATAACTGAATCCAGCAATTTTCAAGTTATAAATGAATCTTTTCCGTCATTATTGGAAGGAATAAAAATGATTTGGATTTTATCTAAATATTTTAATACTGAAGAAAAAATGACATTACTATTAAGTAGCGTTTCATGGCAATTATGTGAAAATGTTAAGAATACTTTATCAGTAAAAGAATTATTCAGGTAATTTAATTCATATAGATTGAATACTTTTGCATATGATTTTAAAATTTGAGATAGATCATGTTTTTATCCAAAATTCGACCCCTTTTCAATTTGTACAAAATTTGATCAAAGATTTATTTCATTTTAAAACGATAATTTGCCAAAGAAAAAAAATTGAAAAATGTTTTTTCAAAAGTTATTTCAAATTAAAAATTTGACTATTTTTCCCATTTTTTAATTTTAAATATCTCGAAAACTATTATAAATACATCTATATACTTCTGTATATAGATATGAACCTTCATTTGTTTTTAAAAAGAATACTTTGGGCTATATTTGGGTCAGTAGCATGTTAAAATTTTACCATTCATACGTTTAAGTTGGGCCTTGAACATCTAATCTTAAAATAGTATCATTGAGTTCTAAATACTTTTAGGATCAGATTAAAAATTAAAAATAACAATTATAAGTTTTAACTTAAACTTATACAGGAAACCATTGAAAGAAATAGTGGAGCAAACAAAAAATGCTTATACTATGTTAAAAAGTTGGAAAAATTTATATTTCGTAACCCGAAAAAGTATTGAATTATCAGAAAAAGGAAAACGATGGGAATTTGATCAAAACCGTTTGTTCAGTGAGATTGACTATATTACAAAAGTTTGCAATGATTTTAACGAAATAGCAAGTGTTCTTCAAAGCTATTACAATATTTTTGGCCCAGAATTGAAATCAATTATTACTGATCCGTCACAAATAGATGTTATCGTAAAAAGGGTCGATGAACTAATTTTACCAATTTCAAATGCTGACTTTAATATTTTCAATAAACTTAATCAAGAAAATTGGGATGCTACAATGGCTTGGTTTTATTTAGAAGTAGCTTCTTTACAAAAAGAAGCGTTATTTTTGATTGATGACTATTTTAAAGCATTAATTAATGCTGAACAAGCTTTAGAAGTACTTCTCAAATTTAAAAATTTCAAAACGAAACCCGCTATTCAAGAATGTTTGTTGATGAAATTTGACGTCATTATGCAACAATTTAGCAAAGAAATAAACCAGGTTGAAGATATATTCAGTTCAGGTATTAAATTACCAGACTATTTTATTTATTTTTTTAAACAATTATATATAATTACCAATTGTCTTAGGTAAAAAAAATCCACCATTATTAAAATATCATGTGCCGATTGCTGGCTCTATATTCTGGGTACGACAACTACTTAGTAGATTACAAGGTCCAGTAATGACATTCAAATCAGTCCTCGAACTTAATCAGAGTAATTTGAAATCGTTAATTTTTAGTCAGTATCTAGATGCTGTCAAACAAATGAAACAGTTTGAAGATATGAAATTTGATTCCTGGAATAACAAAGCTAACGCAGATGTATTGAATACAATGAAAAATAATATTTTGAAAATTACTCCCATAGTTGAAAGTATATTATTCACAGTTAAACAACCAATCAATTAAGATTTTGAGTTTAAATTTACGAAAATAAATATGATATTTTTTATAGCTACAAGGAATAAAAGTATCGAAAATAAAAAATTAGGAAGTAAAGATTTATTGAATCTGGGGCCTAGCATTGGAGGAAAAATTTTATGCTCTCGTTCGGCTGGTGTCAAAATAGGATCTAGTTTAAAATGCTTGGCTAATAAAGTCCTTAAATTGCAGACTAATCCTAAGACTGATAAACCATTACATCAAATGAAAGTAACTTGGATGGAAAAAGCAGATGATAAAACCATGATTGAACAACTATTGTCTTTTCAAATAAATTTCAATTTCAAAATTTTTGAAGTAATTCATGAAGCCGAAATGTTAGAGCAATTAAAATTTGAATTGCCAATATCTATGAGAGATAAAAGTATTCAAAAAGATCGATTGAAAGTAGATATTGAACTTACTCAAACAATAATTGATCAGTATAATGAACTTATGGATCAATTAGATCCTGCCGATGTAAGTTAAATTTATTATTTTTTTAATGATTTCTCGTTGTATAAAAACTTTTTTAAGGCGAGCTCAAAAATGAACTAATTGAAAACTTTTTGAGCATTTTTATTTCAAAAAAAGCACAAAGTTTCAGGAATGGCCTACAGGATCAACCGCTTTTCTCATTTTTTTTTTATTTTAGGTCGTATTGCTCAAAAACATGATAAACAATATCGATAAGTATATACAGTCTGGAGCAACAAGATTAAACTGGTATTATTTAGACATACCTAATTATGCTGCCCACAGTAAAAAATTGTTGAAGAACTTGGAGTCAATAATTGCACAAGTGAATCATATAAAAAAAGATCTTGATAGTCGAATAGAGCAAATCAGTACTTATAATTTAATTACTATAACTGATTCATTGGATATAAATAATCAGTTACTACAATGCAACGTAAGATTGTTTACACATTTTTAAACACTTTTTTTTCAATATTTTCAATTATTTTATACAATCAATATTTATAAATATATCAAGTTATATAAAAAAATTATTTATTTTTCAGATTTATTTCTCAGAGATTAAAATTAAAAGAACAAAATTAGTAAATGGCATGTTAGAAACATATCTGTCTATTACTCCAATATTAATAAAATTAGAAAGTTTAGTTAAGAACACAACATCTGGCAAAAGTATAGCCATGCAATATTTTTATCAACGTTATGAACAACAAATTTTTACAGCGTTTGTAAAGTAATATAATTACATAAATACTTTCAACAGCTTATTTAAAATTTATGATGAGATATAAATATTGTTTTCAGCTGTTTGAGAAAAAACTTAGATATTTTAAATATTTTACTTTCAAACAATCAAGCAATTTTTACAGTGGATGCAGTCTTATTGTGTTCTGAAGTAGTTCTTCGGCCTTCTCCAAATGAAATAAATATAATAGTTCTTCGAGATGTTAAAGATATGCTTGAAAAAATGAAAATATTTCCCAGGTGGATAGCAAGAAGCTGTCACAAGTATACCCAAGTAAAGGAAACAAATTCAGATGGCTTTTTTGACTTTAATTTTTATGAAGATATAATGAGTATTCAAGTAAGAAATCGCACTTTTATGAAAACTATCGGACATGATTCAATAACTAAGAAGTATTTTTTAGGTCATATATGATAACATTATTGCTATTAAAAATACAGTTTATGAAATAACATCACGTTGTCGGAAATATCTTCATAGATGGAAAAAATACAGCAATTTATGGCGAGCTGATAAACTTCAAGTTTGTGAGAAGTTCGTTATGACATGCTCTAGTCTGAATGAATATGATGAAAAATTTACGTTTTATGATACAGTAATTGAAGAAATTGACGAGTGGACATCATACTATGATATATTTTGCATAAGGTAAAAAATATTGACTTTTACGTTTTTTATTTTTAAGCGGGATGATGCTAAAGTATGTATTATTTAAAAATGTTGATAACTTCAAACTTTCAAATCAATTCTCTGTCCGTCGATAAATAACGAGGTTTTGTAAACAAAGAATATATTGATGAACAAAGCGCTTATTTTGATCATTTCTTTCCTAATTAAAAATTCATTTCTAAAGTTTCCAATTACGAGTTATTGTACAAGTGCAACAGAGATATCAACACTTATAATTTTTTTGTTTCTTTTTCCATACTAGCTATTAAGGATAGAAAATTTTTTTTTTCTGCCGTTTTATTTTAAAAGTCAGCAATGCAATGTATCTATTGTGAAAAATTGAATAAGTATTAGAAGACGAGCATTTTTAGATATTCTAAACTTTTTAAAATTTATCATTAGCATGAAAGATTAAATAAATTGATCTATTAATAAAAATAATTTTACTTAACAGAATCAACTTGGGCCCATTACTGAAAAGTATCAAAGATCATGCTCAAAAATGGAAACAAATTTTGGGGGACTATCTTATAACAGAAACTAAACAATCAATGAAAAATTTTGCTTTGAAAATAAAGAAATTTCGATCGGAAATTGAACTTGTTATCAATAATTTGGATAAATTCAAAGCTGTTTTGCAAACTATTGCAGATATAAAAAAAATTTCAATACAAGCTATCGTCCAATATGATGAATATAAAGAAACATTTAAAATACTTAAAGCCCATGGGATTAATTTTTTGTCTGAGGTTGAAGAACAAGCTTATATCATTCAGGAAGATTGGGAATTAGTTTATTCTGAGGCACTTTATCGAGATATAATATTAGAAACTACAAAAGAACGGTTTCGTCAAATGACTGAAAATCAAATTTCTGATCTTCAAGCAGAATGTGTGGAGTTTGCCCAATATTATGATAAAAATGGACCAGCGAGCGTCGAGAGCGATCTCGATAGTGGATTAGACAAAGTAGAAGTAAGTTTTCTTCTAATTGTCTTAATGAGGATGACGAAATTAAATGTAAATTTATTTTAAATGATGTATTTTTAGGAATTTGAAGGTTTAATAAGAACTTTAGAAAAACGACGGCTGGATCTTGCGTATGCAGAAAATTTATTTAACCTTCTACCAACAAATTTTTCAATTTTTGAGGAAGTTAAACAAAATTTTCAAGACATTAAAATAATATATTCTTTATATAAAACACAAAAAGATGCAGAAAATATTTTGTCAAAAACTTCATGGTCAGATTTAAATTTTCAAAAATTGATCAATGAAATAGAATTTTATATCAGAGAATTTAAGAAATTTCCGAGTAGAATTCAGCAGCTTGATATTGGTCAAATACTTTTAGCAAAGATGGAAGCATTTAAAAGTTCAGTGCTATTATTCGTTGATCTGAAACATGAAGCTATTCGCGAAAGACATTGGAAGGAATTGATGGACAAAACAGGAAAACATCTTGACATAACTTCTCATAAATTAGATGATGAAGAAAATAAAGGACTTTCTCAATGACTGAAGCAATTTTTAAAAATTTTTTTAATAATTAAATTTTAAGTTAGAGTTAATTATTATTATAATTGCGTACTTCAAAGATAGTATGTGCTACCTATTTTAAACAAAATTAATTTACTAATGATGATTTTTCTCAAGTTGTATTGTTAACACAATCTTATGTAACAAATTCAGAGTATAAATAAAAACATGGATTGAGGTTTAAGTTAAGATTAAAATAATGTCAGAGAATCAATACTAATTCTGGTTGAATTTAAAAAATTTAGGTTTACGTTAGAAAATATGTTTTCCATGGAACTGAGTGAATTTCATGACATCGCGCAAACAATCGTGACGAATGCAATTAAAGAATCAACTGTTGAGGAAAAGGTTAACGAACTTGTTGATTTTTTACAATCGATAAATTTTAAAGTAATAAAAAAATTGGAAGGTAACTATTAAAAAAACAATTTAATATCTTTGTTTTATGAATGAATATGCTTTGTTTTTTTCTGTCTTATTAGAAAAATTTTTTTGGAAAATTTACTTTTCTTCGTAAGTTGTAAGTTATGGCATTTACAATATAATTTTGAACTTTTTCATAGAATGTGCAGTTCTCTGACAAATTCACGTGTATTGTTTTTTTGAATGATTTTTTGACCAGTAAAGGACATGGTAGTGTCTCACGCCAAGTACACACTTAAGCACATGCAATAACTATGCAAACACGTATCGGCGCGAGATAAGCGTGTTTTTTTTCATCATATTTTATGTTTTATAACAATAATACAACAATCAATTTTTTTGAAAAAATTTTTTGAATATCAAAAAATCATGTCGAAAGTGGAAAAAAATTTCTTTTGTCGTTTATATGAAAAATCAAACTCTTCGATAAGCTTCTCATTTTCTTAGATTTCTTTTTCCAACAGAAATAAATTTTTTTTTTTATAAATGATCATTTTTCAAGTAAAACAGAAGAAAAACATACTGTTTAAGATTAAAAAGAATATACGTATTATTTATTAATATAGTTTTTTTTTACACTGAACTGTCAGGTTTAGATAGCAACTTCTATATACTGGGATCAGTAGAATATTTGATTCAAAATCTTGAAGATAATACTATAGCCCTTCAGAATCTGAAATCTTCACCGTATATTAAACCATTTTTAGACATAGTTCAAAAATGGGAAATTACTTTCCGCGAAATTTCGGAGGTAATAGAAGCCTGGACAGAATTTCAGACAAAATGGTTGTATTTAAGAGAAATTTTTTTTGATAATGATATAAAACTACAACTACCTGAAAAAACTATCAAATTTGAGGGAATTAGTCGTACTTTCAAACAAATCATGTTTGATACTGCTGAAAGACCAAACGTCTACAAATGTTGTATGATTCCTGACCGTAAAAAAAAATTTGAAAATTTACTTTTTGAGATAGATGAATGTCTTAAGTCATTACATGAATATCTTAGTTGTAAACGAATGATTTTCCCGAGGTTTAGTTTTTTATGTGATGATGAGTTATTAAGAATTTTGGCAGAGAATGATACTATTTTAATTCAGAAATATATTACAAAAATGTTTGATAACATAGAAATGTTCAAATTTCAAGAAGATGAAGTAAATAATGAGACTAAAATGATTTGTACTGCTGTCATTTCTTGCGAATGTGAAATTATGGAACTAAAAAATCCAGTAATCATTAATACAAAAGTAGAAATATGGATGGCAACATTACTGGAGGAAATTAAAAATTCTAATCGACATTTAATAAAAAAAGCTATCTATATTTACGGCAAGATGAAAAAACCTCGAATTGAATGGTTGTTTCAGTTTCAAGGTGTGGTAATATTTGTAGTCAATCAAATATGGCGGACAGTAGAAATCGAGGAAGTATTTGAAAAAATAAAGTTAAACAATAAACGAGCCATGAAAGAGGTATTGTATTAATTTATTTTTAAATAAAAAAAAAAAAAAAAAAAAAAGTAATTTTCAGTTAAAGTTCATTTCTTCAAGTACTTGTCACAACTCAATGACCAATTAAATGAAGTCGTAACACTCATGGGTGGAAATTCTTTGACCAATAATGATCGTACAAAATTAGACACTCTTATAACTATTGATGTACATAATAGAGATACAATTAATGAATTTGTAAAGAATAATGTTATTAAAATTGAAGACTTCAAATGGCAGAGTCAGTTAAGATTTTATTGGATCTATAATTTAGATAACTGTTGGATTAATCAATGTACTGGACGATTCGAGTATGGTTATGAATACATGGGCTTAAATGAAAGACTAGTTGTAACTCCTTTAACAGATCGTATTTATTTGACTATTACACAAGCTCTGTCAGTACATTTAGGTACATCCTTGGCAGGTAAATCCTATTTCGATATTTGAATCGAATGTTACTATTCAAAACTTTCTAATAATTATAAAATTTCAAAAACTTCATTTACCAACTGTTAAAATAACCATTAAGACTTTGAGAGAGATTGTTTTAAAAAGTTTTCTGTTCTGTATTTTTTTTAGGATATGCTGGTACAGGAAAAACTGAAACAGTGAAAAATTTAGCAAAAACATTAGGATTATTATGCATTGTAACCAATTGCAGTGAAGGAATAGACCATGTAACTATTGGGGAAATTTTCCGAGGATTAATACAATGTGGCGCATGGGGCTGTTTCGATGAATTTGATCATATAGATGTGTCGGTTCTTTCCATTATTTCGTTACAACTACAAACACTTCGTTCAGCACTACAAAGAAAGGCAACGAAATTCTTGGTATAGTTTAAAATAGATAACATATAATTCTTGCTGGAATAAAAAAAATAGTATATTGTGTGATAAAGAATGGAAAAAAGAGATATTACGAGTACCGCTCAAAGTTTGAAATCGTTTTTTTAATTTTTCATATTGTCTACATTGAAACTTTAAGCTTCAATGTTTGGACTCGATCGCATTGAGATAATTACTGGTCGAATTTTCTTCTCTTGGTAACCAATATACTAATTTTTGGATTTTCTTCATTACGGAACTTTTCTCAAAGTGATTACTAAGGAAAAAATTTTTTGAAAATAATAAATTTTATGAAACAATTCCAAAAGAATTCGCATCTAAAAGATAGGTATATCCGATGAAAAAATTAAGTAGTTGTATATTAGTTACTTAGTTAGTTAATTAGTTACTTCGATTTTTGTTGCGAATCACAGTAGAAAATTTTTTATAATATTTCGAATATTTGTTCTTTGGAGATTCTATTGAGAAAAGTTTTTAATAAGTGAGTGATTTTAATTGACTATGTAATATAATTCTACTGTTTTAAGTTCCAAACCCAGGATATTGCCTTAGATCCTAAATGTGGGTTATTCATTACTATGCAACTCAGTTACGATAATCAAACTCAGCTTCCGGAATCAGTTAAAGGATTTTTCAGACCGATAGCTGTCGTCGTACCTGACAGTGAATTAATTTGTCAAGTTAAACTGTTCAGCGCTGGATTCTTAACAGCAAAAAGCCTAGCGAAAAAAATAACAGTGCTTTATCACCTCGCGAAAAATCAATTAAGTAAACAAAATCACTATGATTTCGGACTGAGAGCTCTTGTTTCAATTTTAAATAGAGCCAGATATTATAAAAAAGTATCAGAAAATTTAGTAGAAAGTACTATATTGTTACGAGCTTTGAAGGACGTGAATCTTTCTAAATTCATTTCTGATGATGTTCCGATTTTTATTGGACTTCTGAAAAATCTTTTTTTGGAGTTGGATAGTTCTATAACAGAATATCCACTATTTAATGAAGCTGTAGAGAATATTTATCGACGTAATAAATTCATGATTCTACAAAAACAGGTATATGATCTAAATTTTTACATTATGTACTGAAAATAAAAAATTAACTTGAATCAAGAGAAAAATTCTTGAACCAAGAAAATATTCTGGAGGAGTTTCATTGTCTTGAATTAAGGTGAAAAAATAGTATACACGCCAGAGAAGAAAGTAGGATATCGATACTGCCATTCTAATACGTCGTATCCCACATTTATAAAATTTTACAGCAGACGGTAAAAACAGTTCATTTTTAATATTGATTAAATGGGATTCGACGGATGAAAATAATTGTTTAAGAATAGTTATTAAACTATTTGACCTTCAAGTTTTTAATATGACTTTCATAATATTGTTATGATTCTATTTTTCAAAAAAAGTCAATTTTTAAAATTTTGTGGGATACGACGTATTAGAATGGCAGTATCGATATTTCAATCCGGACGTACGCTTTTTCTCCCTTTGCGTGTAATATACTATTTAAAGGAGATTCGAAAAAAAATCTGGAAAACGGTTGACCCGGCAGGCCATTCCTCGAACTTCCTGCTATGTACGAATTCAAAACACTCGGTAAATTGTTTATTCCAAAGTTTTGAGCTCTTCGAGCGCAAAAATATAACTTGAATACTTTTTCGAGCTCTTCAAGCTCGAAAATTTAGTGGTTGTAGATACATACTCTTTTGAATATTCTGAATTGCGATATCTTTCGATCGAATCAATCGTTTTGAATGGGGCTTGCAAAATTCGACGCAGTTTTTCAAGCAGAAAAGATTATTCATCAATTATCACTTACCAAACGTTTCACCAACGTAAAATTTTAAAGTTATATTGAAAAAATACTTTTTTGGAATTATTTAAAATTAAATATATTTTGAACGATTTGACTAAATTTGATGCGGTTTGCGGCAATCAATGTTGTTTTTTGAGATTGAAAGCTGAGTAGTTCTTGAAATTGATCGATACACTAGTTTAAAAGTTATTCGATTCGTTAACCTCGTTTCGATCCGTTAAGCCGTTCAAAAGTTAAAGGGAGTTTACATACATACATACGAAGATACATTTTCGAAGGAATAGTCTGATGAGAACTCGATTTTCGAAAACCGGGGTCAAACCAATAACCTCCCGATTTTTTGAAAATCACTGATTTTCATAGCGTGAAATTAAAAATAGTCATTGTTTACGCTTTTTTAGTATAAAGTGAATCTATTTAGTAATAAGATAAGTTTCATTATTACAGGTAGATAAAATCTTACAACTGTACAAACTAACAATGACAAGACATGTAAATATGGTTGTGGGTCCAACTGGAGGAGGAAAAACCGTAATAATTAAAACGTTTTGTGAAACTCAAACAAGTTTGAATAGCCTATCGAAACTGTGTGTTTTAAATCCTAAAGCATACGATGTAACTCGATTTTATGGAGTTTTGAATCCACTTAATCGTGAATGGACCGATGGAATCTTCAGCAATATTTTTCGCAAATTCAATCAATCTCTTAATTTTTCATTGCTAAATGAAAAAAGATTTATTATTTTTGACGGGGATGTTGATTCAATATGGATAGAAAATATGAACTCCGTAATGGATGATAATAAAATTTTGACGCTTCCGAATCAAGAGAGAATAAAATTACGAAATAACTGCAGTTTGATTTTTGAAGTCGGTCACTTAAAATATGCATCACCAGCCACAGTGTCACGTGTTGGAATAGTTTACGTCGATCCTAATATTTTAGGGTATGAGCCATTTATAAAGAAATGGATTAAAAATCGACGTGAATCTGAACAAGAATTGCTTTTAGTACTGTATCAAAAATATATTCCTAGAGTACTAGCCCTTATTATTGATGGCATATTGGGCTTAGAGCAAGTTGATCCTTTGCAGATGATTATCCATCAAAATGCATTGAACTTGGTTAATATATATTTTTTAACGCTTGAATTTATTTAGTTAATTTATTAGTAAAATGTCTTCAAATTATAATTTTAAAGGTATCCCAGTTATGCAAAATGGTTGATAGCCTTTATCCTTCTTGTCATCAGTATAATGAAACATCAACGAATGATAAAGAATTTCATGTACATCAAGCTGAAGAAGAAGAAGAAGAAAAAGAAGCTTTATTACATGCCGTATTTATCCAAGCATGTTATTGTTCAATGGGCGCTGCTCTTGTTTCAGAAGCTCAATTCAAATTTGATGACTATATGAAAGAAATATCAGGACTTATGATAATCAAAGATACTGCGGAAAAGCTAGCTTCAATAGGTAATAGGATCAGTTTCTACACAAAAAAAAAAATTTACTTGATTCAAGAGAAAAATTCTTAAACCAAGAATATAATTTTGAAGAGTGTAATTGTCTCGAATCAAGACGAAAAATTCTTGAATTAAGTAAAATTTCCTTAAATCAAGAAAAATGTTCTTAAATCAAATTTGTCTACTAAAACCAAGAATATTGAGCTCTTCAAAAATATATACTTGATTCAAGAACATTTTTTTTTCTGTGTACTATAAATTAAACTAATTTAATCTGCTAGGAACAATTTTTACCCAGCCGCCTGGAAGTTTTTATTCACAATAAAGTGGAATTATTTTTACTTTTTAGGTTATATTCCTACTGCTTACAAGTTATTATACGAATACGTTTTAGACGTGAAGAATAAAGTATGGAGACCTTGGAAAATGTGTGTTCCTCAATATATTCATAACAGAAATCAAGATTTTCATGAAATTTTTGTACCTACCTCTGATACTCTCCGTACGTTTTGGTTTATCAGGTTGATGAAGAGTTTAAAACAGCCTGTTCTGTTAGTGGGAGAAACTGAAACTGCAAAAACTGCAATGATTGAAAATTTTTCAAGATCTCTTGATCCGGCTAAGTTTGTAAATTTTACAATAGTTTTCGTTTTTCCTTAGCTGTGTATATGATTGAATTAATTCAATTTGACAACTATTTTTTTTAGGGATTATTAAAAATGAATTTTTCATTAAGAACAAAATCGACAGATGTTCAAAGAAGTATCGAATCTTATGTAGAGAAGCGCACGCGAGATTTATATAGCCCACGATTAGGAAGAACACTGGCAATCTTCATTGATGATATGAGCTTACCAATAGTTGATTTGTATGAAACTCAACAGCCTATTGCATTTCTTAAGCTTTTTTTGGATTATGGTGGTTTTTATGATTGTAATAAAGGATTAAATTGGAAGCAAATAAAAGACACTTGTAAGCTATTTATATTCATAAAAAGTTTTTAATAGTATTTAATTTCGTAAAATAGAAAACTTTATTTAGCACTCTAAAATTAATAGATGATTTCTTCGTTGTGTGTAAAAAAACCGATCAGTTTCTCTTCACATAGTGTCATATTGGACTTACATTATTTTGTGTTGAATTGCTAAACAGAAATTTAAATGATTTAAAAAGTTATTTTAGATAGAAATATGAATCATAATGCAAAGAAAAATCCTCAAATTTAATTTTACATTTAGTTTTATAGTTTTATACGTAAAAAATAAATTCATTTATCAAATTTAGTTCGTTCTTAAGTATATTATTCATTCATTTCAATCAGGGTTTTTAGCAGCAATGACCGGAGAAAGGCGAAATAATGCGGTTGATCCTCGTTTTATTTCTTTATTGGCTGTTTACTACACGGTGCATCCAGATAATACAAGTTTGAATTACATCTATAGTAGCATATTAGCTGGACATTTAGCGATATTCAGTGATGGGATTCAAGCAATTACGAATATTCTTGTTAAGATCACTATTGAGCTATGTGAGGTATTTTAATGATGAAAGTAACATTTCATTTAGTTGTAATGACTCTAGTATTACAGTTTTTATTTTCAATTAGATTGTTCAATTCGAATTACCACCAATTCCATGTAAATTTCATTATAATTTCAACATGAAAGATTTCTCGAAAATATGCGCAGGACTTCTTCAAAGTATACCTAGTTATTTTTTTACGGCTGCACAATTTGTAAGATTATGGAAAAATGAAATAACTCGAGTTATCTGCGACCGGTTAATTAGTGAGGAGGTTAAAAAAATTTAGTCATATTCTATATCATAAATAATACTTTTTAATCTTTTTTTATTTATCATAACTAGGATCGAAATCTTGTGCAAAATCGATTGGAGATGAAAATAAAATCAGAATGGGAAAAGAATCCTGATATAATTGAAAATGCTCTCAGAGATCCATTGCTTTTTGGTAATTTCAGAAACGCCCTCAATGACGATGGAATTCAAAATTATGAAGATGTATTAGATTACGAGGCTGTTTACAATCTTTTTATTGAGGTTTCAAATCCTTAATGATATTCTAATAAGTGAAATAAAATAGATTAAAGACTAATCAAAAAATTTTCAGATTCTCGAATTATATAATAAAAATAATGTTAAGCTTGAGATGATTCTTTTTAATGATGCACTTGAGCATTTAATACGTGTTCACCGTATTTTGAAAATGCATCGTGGCCACGTGTTACTTGTTGGAGCAAGTGGAAGTGGTAAACAATCAGTGATTAGACTTGCATCCTTTGCCGCCAAATGTGATGTTTTTGAAATTTTACTTGACTTTACTTATAATGAAACTTCTTTTCAAAAAGATATAAAAAAACTTCTTAATTTAGTCGGCATTGACAACAATAAAATTTTGTTTTTATTCACATCTGCTCAAATTGTAGATGAAAACTTTTTAGAAATAATAAATAACATATTAGCCGCAGAGATTCCTTTTACGTTATACACGGAAAATGAAATTGATAAAATTAATGACAAATGTAAAGGAAATGTAACTCAAGAAGGATATTGTATTGACAAGTCAGTAAAAATTACATCAATCAGAGAAAATAGTATTAGTTAATATTTTGATAATGGAGATTTTTGTTTTACAGAGAAAATATTTGGTCCTATTTCACAAAAACTTGCACTGCAAATCTCCATATTGCATTGTCGATGAGCCCAGTAGACGATCTCTTTAAGAAACATTGCAGAAACTATCCTGGTATTGTTAAAAATACTACAATTAATTGGATGTTTCAATGGCCCCAACAAGCTCTTTTTGCAGTTTCTAATTTTCTAATGAAAGATGTAAGTTCAAATATCAATTGGTCAGTGATAATAAAATAATGAAGTTAATGGCAATAATGAAAGTGCGTGTAGCAGTATTCCGGTTTTATATATTAAGTTTATAAAATGAATGAATTATAGACATACAATACAGAGCGTGGACAGATATGAGAGATTAACTAATACTCTGAAACCAGTACTTGTAGCCGAGCGGCTAACGTGCTTGACTTCGAACTACGGGTACTGGCCAGGCATGGGTTCGAGTCCCACCATGGTCGGATAATTTTCGCTATGCGCCAGTTTAATTTTCGATTATCTTCAACTGTGAGGACTCGGCTCATTGCCGAACAAACATTGGCTGTACATGATATTCATAGAGGCCAGCTGGACGACACCAGCAAGGAATATAAAAAAATCCTGGTGGCACCCTTATTTATTAATTTAGAGTCATTTTATTTAGTTTATTGTATTTTAATTAATTTTTATAAGGGGCTAAATGAACAGTTAACAAAACCGTTACAAAGAGAAAAAAAAATTATTTGATATTTCTCATAAGGAACGATTAAGTTTGACTTGATCCGATAGAATATGATCAGATATAATTATATACAGCTCAGATATAAGATTAGACCTACATAGATCTAACAACACCTGTTGAAAAATAATCGTCCAAGCGAAATTGTTCATTGAACTTTGACCACATTTGAAATGGTTATTTAGATTTTAATGAATCTAAGCCGATATAAAAATAGTTATCTGTGGAATATAAAGATGTGTTTATTCCATGGAAAATAAAATAAAAGTAGACTCTATTGATACATCATTTTCATTTTCAATGGGATTCAATCGGAATTTTCAACTACGCTAAATTCTGAAATTTCGAAATTTTTTGTGTAATTATTTTTATTATGTCATTTCTTCTGATTATCAATATCAAAGAACCATGGAAAAAAATAGTTACAATAATTAGTTTCATATTGTTATTAATGGGAAATTTTTGCAGTAAGTGAACAGTAAAGGAATTATTGCAGCAAAACATAATTTCGTAACTATTCAAAATTATAAAATTTTTATAGTTTTCAGTTTTACCGAATAGTCATTATAGGGGAAGGGGGGGGGCAAAATGGGCCCCCTAAAATTTTTAATTTCCAAAAATATTTGGGGGCAAAATGGGTCCTACACTTAAACGCGTTTTAGAATTTTTGAATTATAGAAAAAATTAAATAGGTAAAGTACGAACTAGGTCGCGAGTCAAATAACAGCATTATTTACTATATTTTTTTGTTAAAAAACTATTTATTTTACAGAAGCTTCCCTGACTAGTTTTGCAATGGTGTGTGTGTGTGTGTGTGTTTTGTTTTTTTTTTTTTGGGGGGGGGGAATCCTTTTTACGGATTCTAGGCATAGCTGTTGGCCTGGATATATGGCGACTCGACGCAGCGTCATACTAAAACTCGACGCTAACGTCCCTACCCACTAAACGGTGCCGCGACAAAATAACCGGACGACAAAATAACCGGACGACAAAATAACCGGACGACAAAATAACCGCGGACAAAATAACCGCAGATAAAATAACCGCGGACAAAATAACCGCAGATAAAATAACCATGTGACATTACAACCCCGTTACAAAATAACCGAACGACAAAATATTTTAGAAAAAAATATTCTTTAATAAACACACAAAAAATCCATGATAGAGAAGGCACAACATGGCAACAATCTCATGTGTTGATCTAATGTCGAATAAATGCACACATAAACCATGTTAAAAAGGCACAACACGATTATCCGCGTTTGTGTTGATCTAATATCGAATAAATGCACACATAAACTATGTTAAAAAGGCACAACACGATTATCCGCATTTGTGTTGGTCATATGTCGAATAAATGCACACATAAACCATGTTAAAAAGGCACAACACGATTATCCGCGTTTGTGTGGATCTAATATCGAATAAATACACACAAAAACCATGCTAAAAGGGCACAACACGATTATCCGCGTTTGTGTTGGTCTAATGTCGAATAAATACACACAAAAACCATGTTAAAAGGGCACAACACGATTACCCGCGTTTGTGTTGATCTAATGTCAATTAAATACACATAAACACCATGTTAAAAGGGCACAACACGATTATCCGCATTTGTGTTGGTCATATGTCGAATAAATACACACAAAAACCATTTTAAAAGGGCACAACACGATTACCCGCGTTTGTATTGATCTAATGTCGAATAAATACACACAAAAACCATGCTAAAAGGGCACAACACGATTACTCGCGTTTGTGTTGATCTAATGTCAATTAAATACACATAAACACCATGTTAAAAGAGCACAACTTAGCAAAAATATTATGTGTCGGCCTTTTTACAAATAAACATACACAAAATCCATGAAAAAAAAGGCACACTACAATTTCTAATTTATGTATCTTTTAAAAATTCGCGGGTGATGATGTTAGATTATTTTGTAACGTGGTTGTAATGTCACATGGTTATTTTATCTGCGGTTATTTTGTCCGCGGTTATTTTGTCGTCCGGTTATTTTGTCGTCCGGTTATTTTGTCGCGGTTATTTTGTCCGCGGTTATTTTGTCGTCCGGTTATTTTGTTGCGGTTATTTTGTTATGGCACCCCACTAAACTCTAAACCCCTTTCCTCTTTCCTCTGATTCCCCATGGTACCACTGTAAGGCATTTCTTCGCGGGGGGAGGAATTAGCTGCCGCTCTTCCTTCTGGTGGCTAAGATATTATTTCTTCCTTCTAGTCATTCGCTCTTTTTCTTTCAATGGAACGCAACTCTGTAAGGACTTCTGTGGCAAAAGTGCTTGTAGCGTTCCAAGCAGTTTGACTCGACAACATTGTCTCTACTATTGTCTCTGGTTGGATTCTCCGGTTCAGGATCCTTTCTAACTCATTTCGCTGAGGATCAAAACGTGGACACGCAAAGAAAACGTGCCCTGCGTCCTCAATAACTCCTGGACAAGACGGGCACTCAGTCCCAGTCAAGTTGCCATCGCGAGATGCTGTGCTGCCGTTCTTCTGTTCTAAGTTCTTCAGGGCTCAGTGCAGTTGACCTTTTTCGTTGGTAAAGGGCCCGTCTTTCCTCTGCTAGTACTCTAAGCGGTAGGGTTCCAGCGATGACGCACACTGCTTCTTCTGATATTGTGCGGAAGGCACTGACAACTCTCAGAGCGCTCTGTCTGTAAATTAGACCCGCTTTTCTCCAAGATTCCTGCGTTTTTAATGCGTCAGCCCAAATGGATATACCATATGTGAGCACAGATGTTACTACTGATGACAGCAGTAGTCTTCTGCTGTGCTTTGGTCCACCAACGTTAGACATCAGTCGTGCTAGGCTCGCTCTAACTACTGATGCTTTGGTAGTCACATGTTCGACTTGTTGCTTGAAATTGAGTCGAGCATCAAGCATCACTCCCAGGTACCGAATGTACGGTTGTGATGTGATCTCATGTTCTCCAACTTGTAACTTGATGGTTTCCATCGCTTTCCTACTGGTAATGAGCACTGCTTCGGTTTTATGCTTAGCTAGTTGCAAGTTCACCGTATCCATCCATAAGTTAATCCGTCTAAATGTAATGTCGAAGGCCAGATTTATCTCTTCAAGATGCTTCGCGAAAATCACCACAGCAACATCATCTGCATATGCTACCAGTTTCACTTCTGCTGACAATGCTATTTTCAGGAGACCATCATACATGATGTTCCATAGCAGAAGACCTAGAACTGAGCCCTGTGGTACACCACCAGTAATATCATACTCCTTAGGACCACTTTTTGTGTCATATTTGAGGACTCTGTTTGTGAAGTAGCTTGCTACCATTCTACGCAAATACCCTGGGGCTCGTTTCTCTTCAAGGGCGCGCATTTGTGTGTGTTTTTTTTTCTCTTAGGGGGGGGGGAATCCTTTTTACGGATTCTAGGCGTAGCTGTTCTGGCCTGGATATGTGGCGACTCGACGCAGCGTCATACTAAAACTCGACGCTAACGCCCCTACCCACTAAACCCTAAACCCCTTTCCTCTTTCCTCTAATCCCTCATGGAAACCGCCGTTAGGCATTACTTCGTGGGGGGAGGATATAGCGACTGCTCTTCCTTCTGGTAACTAAGGTATTATTTTACCTTTCTTCTAGTTGTTGTCATTTGCTCTTTTTCTTTCGATGGAACGCAAGTCTATAAGGACTTCTGTTGCAAACGTGTTTGCGGCGTTCCAGGCAGCCTCTGATGACAGCATTGCTTCTACTATTGTCTCTGGTTGGATTTTATTCTTCAGGATCATCTCCAGCTCATCGCGCTGTGGGTAAAATCGTGGGCACTCAAAGAAAACGTGCTCCGCGTCTTCATTGATTCCTGGGCAGGACGGGCACTCCGGTGAATCATCATGCTTGAAGCGGTGAAGATACGTCCGAAAACATCCATGTCCTGACAATATCTGCGTCAGATAGTAATTGACCTCGCCATGACTCCGGTTCATCCAAACGTCGATTTTCGGTATGAGACGGTGTGTCCATCTTCCTGTTGTCGCGGCGTCCCACTGCGATTGCCATCGTGCGATGCTGTTCTGCCGTTCTTCAGCTCTGAGTTCCTCGGCACTTAGTGTGGTTGACCTCTTTCGTTGGTAAAGGTTCCGTCTTTCCTCAGCTAGAACTCTGAGCGGCAAAGTTCCGGAAATGACACACACTGCTACTTCTGATATCGTGCGGAATGCACTGGCTAGTCTTACAGCGCTCAGTCGATATACTGGTCCAGCTTTTCTCCATGATTCTTGCAACTTCAGCGCTTCTGCCCAAATGGATATTCCATATGTGAGCACCGATGTGACAATTGATGATAGTAGTAGTCTCCTGCTCTGCTTTGGGCCTCCGACGTTCGGCATCAGTCGTGCGAGACTAGCCCTCACTACTGACGCTTTGGCACTGACGTGTTCCACTTGCTGTTTAAAGTTGAGACGGGCATCAAGCATCACTGCCAAATATCGGATGTAAGG